ACCTCCAAATAATTAAAGTTGGATATAGATAATGAGAATACCATTGGAAAGGCTTATGCAGTGCTATTCCATTAAATATACCTATTTTACAAGTGGTTTTGTGTAGATTTGTACAGATTTCTGTATATTTGACAGATCTGTGGTTGCTTGATAAATTATTTTAAAGAAATTAAAGATACTAATTTTTGAGGGCTTTATTTTATCAACATATTTTATACTTTTTTTGGAATTGTATTCTATCAACAAGAGTTTACTTCCATGGAAATTGTGCACAGTTCATGGTGCATCATGGACTTTGCACCCAGACCTGTGTGCACTAACAGGCTTCAGCTGAACTGAACATTTTCCCACGAAGAAAAGATTTCTTCTAAATGTATTAGAAATGAGGAGTCTCATTTTTAATGAGAGGAGCACGGAGAGTGTTTTGAGTTACGTTGTATGTGAATGTCATGGCTTGATGAGATAATATTTGTGATTTCCTCTGGTCACTTACGTCTGTCACCCGAGGCTGAGCATGACTGTGTTTGCTTTTTGGTAACACTTGTGCCACTGATTTCTACTTGAAGAAGGGATTTATACTTATGAAGGATTAACTTTCTGACTTTCGGATATTCTTGAGATCTTCAATCCGAAGATGTTTAGAAGCTGTTAAATGGGACGATTTTCTCTCAGTTTCAATTCAAGGAAAAAGTGTTAGATTGATTTTGAATAAGGTCATGTAGTCTAAAGCAGTGTTTTGTACTCAGCACTTGCACAAATTTGTGTGTGTCAGTGGCAGCACTTTCACACCCCTGGTGTGGAGGAGCAGCACTCATAGACTGGACTTTATCAAGCCGTGGATATCACAGCTCTGTGGGAGGGCATCTGTGAATTAAGTTTTTTGGGGTGATTGCTGCTCTGAATCTACCGTTACCCTGACCAAGGAGAATTGTTCTTGATGATAAGATCAATTTTAACTATTCAGCATTAAATCTTCCTGCATCACACAGGGCAGGCACTGGTTTACTTTATCTTAACCAAATTAGGCACAGCGGATCTGAGGAGCCCGACTACTCTTTATTTTTGGCAAAAATCAAGCCTCAGATTCTAAGTTTTGGTTAGAAACTGTCTCATATTGACGTTTCAGCACTTTAATCAGGAAATAGCAGGGGGAGGAGAGAACTGGCAGGGCTTGCTGCATTTGTGGCTCTTTCTGGGCAGCATTTGCCTGACTGGAGCTGCATTTTCAGCAGAGAGCAGAGAGACATGTAATGCAAAGGCTGGTTCAAGGCTGGCACTGCACACCAGTGCTGCTCTGAGAACCAAGCCTGGGTCTATTTAGGTAGGAGGACATCACAGAAATGTTATATATTTGATTTCTTCAGAGCAAAAAAAAAAGTCTTGAGGGCTTTCTTCCTGTTTTAGGTCAGTTTTAGCGAGTGTTGCTTAGGTTTTCTTCCATCAAATGTTCTTTTATTTCTCTGGTTGTTCTTCCATTTTGATCACATTTACAGTAATAATGCATTTCTCCCTCCCACTCCTCCTACTCAACAGCCACACACAGATAATTTCTGACCTGCTGGCTTGTTTATCAACAGCATTGACGGTGGTAAATGTTCCACTTTGTTTTGGAGCTATTTTGCAATATGGGGTAATACCTAAACGAGGTGGATTTACTCAGCCTGGCTGTGACAGGCCCTGGATATTTCACAATACAAAGCTGGGTATCACTGAAAAGATAGCTTATTAATGGGTTTATTCCTTATGTATAATTTGTTGGCATGTGCTTCCATCTGTTTGGAATGCTGGGCCTTCTGCTCCCTCCACTGGGACAATATGTCTGGTTATGGTGCTGGTCTGTCAAATTGAATCATTGAGTTGATCTAGGCAGGAAAACCCAACCAAGGCAAAAATCTCCTTTCCCTTCTCTGCCTCCCTTGGGCTGGATCATTTCTGGCATTCATTTTACATTGCATTCCCATAAAATATTGCCTTGGTACAGCTGAAGAACAAGTGAATTACTGGGCAGGTTTGAGGAAAATGAGCAAAGGTTTGCCAACACTGGATGCTCTTAAGCTGGAACTGGACTTGGAGAAAGAAAAAGAGAATGGGGCAAAAGCAGTGCAGGATTTGACATTTACAATAGAGATGCTTGTGAAATGCATTTTGCACAACATTTTGAAACACCAGTGTGCTGAGAGCCTATCTGGCTGTGCTTGTTTTTACAATTAAGATTTCATTAGAATTAGTAAGTCTTGTTGTCTTTCTTGAACTATGTGGTTTTTTCTCTCCAAATGTGGTTTGGTTTTTTTTTTCTTCCATGTGGAAAACTTGTTTTTAATGCAAATTAATACTCCAACCAGAAAGTGCTTTGTCTGGGTATATCTAGGGAGTAATTAGGGCTTGGAGCCCTGACAAATTTGGTGGGTAAGCACCAAGGAAATTTTGCATGCTTTTTACCAAACATTTTCAATTATTGCAAAACCCCATAAATCTGTGAGCAGAACTGAATCTGTTTTACTTCAGGGTGTTCCTGTTCTTAAAAACCTTGACAGAAAGCAGAAAATTTATGTAATTCTGAGCAATCCTTTACATGACCATTACAACCCCCTCTTTTACACAGCCTTAATTCTTTGAAGTAGCTGAATTTTATCCATCTTGGCCTCAATCTGCCTGATCTAATAAAAACCTCCAGCGTTATATTGCATATTGTCGTTGTAAAAACTCACGGCTGCTCTAATAGCAAACACTTGCACGTGGCACCGTAACTGAGCTGCATCTCTTTCATTCACCTTCAGAAGGGGAGGTTCGGATTTAGCTGCAAAATCTGCATATGACTAAGAGTCAGGAGACATGTCCAACATCCCCCACCCCAGCAGTGTGAGCAGCAGGGCTTCTGGAGAACTGCTTGTTCACACTGGCTGGGTGTGCAGCTGGGCCACGCGGGGCTTTGGGACTTGGCAGCTCTGGCAGCTCCTCTCTGTGCTTTTCCCCGGCTCGGCAAAGCAGGGCCACGGAAAAACCTGGAGCACCCGCTGTGTGGGCCCAGAGAGAGCACCTGAAACTGCCTCTCCAGAACCAGGAAGGGACATGGCTAATACATAAATATTTTTTTTCCTGTGTTTTTCACCGCTTTCCTTTTATATTTATTTATTTTTTTCCCCAGTTTTTCAGAACTTTGTTTTCTTCTTACGTGACTTTTACCAACATGAGTGTCACATTTTCAGTGACATCCAACCTGCATCCCTTTAATGTGGCCTGGTTTTCAGCACAGGGGCTGCAATGCCCAGCCTGGCAAATCCATCTGAAACTGCTGACATGTCAAACCTCGGTAGGATAAATCAGAGCTGGAGTAGAATATGAATTCTGTGGTGTTTTTTGGTTTGGTTGGTTGGTTTTGCTTTTGTTTATTTCAGAAAATTATGGCCAGATTTTCTTCAGTCATTTGGTTTTGGTTTATTTTTTTGTTGTTTCAGTGGTGGCACAGTGTGTTCATTCTAAGTCAACATTTTTCAGATTTAATATTTTGAAGCTAGACACCTGAAAGCCAAGTTTAGGCACTCCAAAATAAGCCTTAATCCTCATTAGTCCCCAGTGTGTGCAGCTCCCGCTGAAATCAATCAAATACAGCTTTCCATACTTCAACGTGATTTTGTTATGATTAAACAGACACTCATAAAACTTGGACAAGCTGGAATCAAGTTTCACATGAAACTGAATGGACATTTTTTTCCTTAGTGGGATCCTTGTAATTAGTGATTACCAGATGCATTTAAAACGTGTGAAATGCCTGCAGGAATTGGAATTAAGAGTGGGGGAGGGATGCCAAACACCTCAGATCTTCTGCTGGCAACCTTTCATTTCAGCTTTCTGCTCTGCACATAGATGAGGAGGCATGATTTCTATAAAATGTTCAGCTGTGGTTTCACATTAAGCTGATGTTACCAATAGAGGAGTGACTCGTGATTGAAAACCTATTTACTTACAAATAAATAGCAGGTTTAGCTCTTGATGGCTCCCCAGTTTGTTTCAGTGGTCACATTGCTGTCCTTACCGTAGGTTGGTTTTCTAATTCTAGCGACTGTCATAATGATGTTGTTTGTCACTTGGATCTAAAGAGAAGAAGGAGGCTTCTGGGCTCTTTTTGTGATGAACTGGAGGTGTCCCACACAGCCTGAAGGAACATCCCCAGGGCTGTGCCCAGACTGCAGCACAGGAGCAAATGACTCCTCTGGATGAGGCTCATTCTTGGTACCATCTGTTCTCCCACTTGTTATGGAGAGGTGCTGCTTTTGTCATGTTTGGAGTTTTAGTCCAAACCCTCCAGTTCTAAGGGATTATCTTAATGTGGACTGTTTGCTCTTACCCTGCTGTGTGTCCTTTTCTCTGGACGAGGTGTTTTTTGGGGTTTTTTTCCTTCTCTCCCTTCTCTTTGGAAATTCGGTGCTGGACAGTAACTGGTCCTGACCAGAGGAAGCTTGTTAGGAGCTTGTAGAGGGCTTGAACAACACCCTCATGCTCAATAACTTACACATGGCTCCTTTTTTTTCCTCTCCAAGTGATTTAGATCAGAGTCCTTACTCAAATTCCCTTCATTTTGGGATACTTATACCAGATGCTTCCGTGAATATTCTGGAAAATACGAGGACATGTTTGAACTCTAGAGTATTTAAGATAATGGATTCTTTTAGGATGAATAATAAAAGCTCTTTTTGCAACACTTGCAATGTTCCTGCAACTGCTGGCAGTTTGTTCCTTGGGTAGATATTTGCCCCTACAGAGAATGTTATTGCTCCTGCCCTTGCAGAACTGTGGTTGGATGGAAGAGAGGATGATGCTGGGAAGGAAGAAGTATATTCCTGGCTTTTTGACAACCATTTATGAATGAAGAATAAAATAGAGATACAGATGAGACACCATTATCTCTTCTCATTGTAGCTGGATACCTGTTTCTTCTAAGCTTGTTAATCTTTTTATTTCCCCCTTAAAGTCTGATTTTTTTCCCTCCCTGTTCTTGATAGATTCACTGTGAGCAACTCAAAAGGAAGAATAAGGATACAGAGGATCGTCTGGAGTTGTGCCTCCATCAGTGTGTTGAGATGGAAAGGTATTAACTATCTTAATGTTACATGGAGAGACTTCTTTTATTTTTATTTCTTGAAAGGTAATTTACTTTGCATTACTGGAAATCTGTAGTTGAGTGTTCCCCGTGTGTCCATGTATCTTCCAGAGACACAGGTTAATGCTTTTTCTTTCCTGCTTTAATCTGTACTGTGGAGATCTGTTTAAATGTGTGAAACGTGGAAATTTTCTGTCCTCAGAAGAGCAAAATCACAGGGAATAGTGTAGCTTGGAAGGGACCCCTGGACATTGTCTGGACTGACCTCCTGCTTCCAGCAGGGCTGGTTAGGTCAGGTAACTCAGGGCCTGCCTGGGTGAGTTTCAAATACTTCCAAGTATGGAGATTTCACAGCTTCTTTGGGCACCTGCTGCTTCACAAACCAATAATATTTACTCATAATACTGATACTAAGTATTAAGGGCAGTGTGTGGATTTGGGAGAGAGAGAAAAAGAAAAAATTTCTTTAAGGTAACTGCAGATTGTTTGGAGAAGCTTAAGAAATAATATCCTACCCTTCTTTCCTCCTGTAAAGAAGCATTTTGTCTCAGGTTAGTTTATTGTGAAATAACTGAATTGGGAAACCCTTGGGTCTTCCCATTTATTCAAGACACTGTGAGCTGTTGCCAGTGCAGTTTGCCTCCAGCCTGTTTCTGTGAAGGGAGGGAGGCACCAGGTTCCCAGCTGTTGATGACATCCCTGGTGAAACCGTGTGCCGGTCGCTGGCAGTCCTGGAATTGTGACACTGACAGCCACGCAGGGAGATTCCTCTGCCTCTCAGCATCCCCTGCCTTTCAGCTTGGCTGCCTCACAGCTGCCACGGGCGAGGAGTTGGCCTGACTTAACAGGGCGGCTTGTCCTCCGTCAGCTACTGTGTGTTACATTTCCTGGCTGTGTTCCCAAATGGTTTTCATCTGTTCGTTCTGCTTGTGCTGTCAGTAGGTCACTGAAGGTATCTCAGGTCTGCGTGGGAGACACAGACCCCAAATGAATCATGGACTTGTTTTCCTCCAAAGGTTCAGCCCAGCTGTGAGCCCAGGTCAGTAAGGCCTTGGTGAAGCATCCACATCCTGGCCAAGGCTGAAGTAGGAGGCAGCAATGGGCTGTTTGTGTTGATGCCTGATTCGAAAAGAAAGAATAATGATGTAAAGGACCAGTTAAAAATGCCAGCCGTGCAACTGCAGTGCATCAGGATCAGAGTTTTCCACAGAAACTAGAGAATACATGATATGAATAGACCTGTGGTACTTAAGCTGTGTGTGTAGGGCAAGCAGCCAGTCCAGAAAGGGCCGTGGGAGGGAGACCAGTTCAGAAAAGCACATACTGAGGATAGGAAAGTGTCCTGAAAGGGAGTGCAAGCTTTTCTAGATATTGATCTTCACAGAAAAAAGAGCCAGCACTTGAAAACATAGAGATCTGTCCCCCCTTTTCCGTCTTTTAACTCTTAGTTTTCAGTTCTTTCAATGCTTTCCTGCCACCTCTCCCCAGCTTTCTTCATGTGTGGTTTTTCAGTGGGGGAATCCATCTGCTCACAAAGCACACGCTGCTTGGTGGCTCTGCCTGGCCCAGCTTTCCATGGCTGATTTTCATGGCAAAACTTCGGTTCCCTTTCACAGGTGATCCACGCGCAACTACGTGAGCCCTGGCTGGTGAGTCTGGGTGACAGTGCTCCACTCACTGCTTCTCCAGAGAAACAGGCATCTGCAACTCACTCATGGCTCATTTAAAGCCTCAGAAAGTTGGTGGGAATAATTTCATTGGCTTTCCTGAGGTTGGAACTCGGCCCAAATGCTGTCCATCAGGAAGACATTCAATTACAGTGTTGGTAGGATAATTAAGGAGAAGATCCAAGTGAAAAGGGAATGATGCTATTTTCCTGATGTACAAGCTGTTCAGGGTGCAGAAGTGAGGCAGTGGCATGGAAACCCAGTCCCAAAGGACAGGAAGCTCCAGGCAGGGAGGGGAGCAGCACCCTGGGATCAGTAACATGTCATTTAATGCAAACCAACTACTCGTGGTCCTCTTGCATGTTGCAGGTTACTGAGAGGGATTATCAAACACTGAAGACACTGAGGGCCTGTGTATCAGTACCTTTCCTTCTCTCTTCACTGACTCAGGATGGACTATAAGTGCAGCTTCACTTAATCACTGGGCCCTTTGTTGTTGTTTTTTTTTTTTTGGCTTATTTTCAGAGAAACCAGATGTGTTTTCATTAAGAACATGCACCTCTTTTGTTGTCATTTGTGTAATTCTTAAAATTAGGCAAAACTATTAAAGAATAATTGTTTCTGTTCACATTAACAGCCAACAGCTTCTCCAGATGTGGCATTTGACAGCCAAGCAGCTGCTGGCTATTAAATGTGCCTTAAAAGCCCCATTCCTTTGTCATAAAGGGAGCAGGAGTGTAGGGACGTTTATGGGGTGATAGGCAGATGTTTTGGCTACATCAGACTGGAGCGAAAGTTTGAGTGGTTTCTCTGTTAGAGTCACGGTGAGTACATGTTTTAACCCCTATCATACACCTTGTCTTCTGGAGCTCTCTCCTTGAGGCTGCAGTGGGATTGTTTCTAATCTCACACCTCCAAAGCAACAGCGCTTTTTTTGCAGCATCTGGAACACCTCACTCTGCAGTTCTGCCAGGGAGATCTCAGTTGCTGCCTGGCTGGTTCTCCACCTATGCCCTTGAAATACTGGGTAAATTTTTGGGGGTGAAACTTAGGTTAAAAATTTAGGTTGGAAATAATTTGAAATAATGTGTTGCCTTTACCCCCCCCCCCAAACTTTCCTTTTAAGTATATACTCAAAATCCTCAAAGGCAGGTGTTCTTTCTGTGTCTGTACCAGCACAGTATGCTTTAAACCCAATAAAATCTTTTTGTAGTGGTACATGTGAGGTGGAATACAGAACTTGTGGAGCTCAGTTTCAAGAGTTCTGGCTCAAATTCCCAGGCCTAAACTTTGATGGAGACCCTCTTGCTGGGTGTTGAGTATGGGAGTAACACCACTGACCCTTAGGGAATTGCACCACATTGTAACTATTCTTTATCAGCTCAGAATCTGCTAAACTCTAAGAGCTTATGAGGCTACAGAATTTTTTTCTGTAACAAAAGTCCCTCTGTCTTCTTGGCAGAATTTTTTCCTTCCCATTGCTTATTAAACCGGAAATTCTTTATTTAGTCTTAACTGGATAAATTTTTAATATAAAAATCCCAATGTATTTACATGAAAAAAAAATCTCTAAAACTGAATTTGAAGAGAGTAAAAATCCTTTCAAATCATATGGAACTTCAGAGAATAGGCTAATTCTATAGATACACCATAATTTTTAAGAAATATATCCCTAATTTTATTGCTATTTCTAGTCCAAGTTAGATTAAATATTCTGTAATTCAGTCTCATACTCTCCCATATTCTACAGGCCCTTTTCTGAACTGAAGTGCATTATCATAAATAGGGGAAGTACAAGCTGAAGCAGTTGGTCTTGAAATTTGCCATTTTTTAATTTATCCAGACCAGTTTATCCTCCATAATTCAATGCAGAAATTTATTTCTTTCCATGAATCTGCTCCCCAGGCTTAGCCAAGCAAGACTTCTGCATCCCAAATGCCCACCCAAGGGGATGAAGCACACGTTTAACCCTTAGACTCTGGAATTCATTTCCCGTCAAAATCTAACTCTGTGGTGTTGGAGTCTGGCTGTAAATCCTGGCTTAAACCCCTTTTTCACAATTGTTTATGGTGTGTATTTGTGCTTTCACCAATCACAAGAGAATGGCCCGGGCACACCAGCCTTGAAATTAATATTTCAAATAGAATTACATGCCCTGGGTATTAATACTGTGCAATAAATGCCGTGGGATGTGTTGTAGGTATGTCCATTGTCACCTCATAACTGCTATGAGTGAGGAATAATGCCAATTTCCAATGAAAACCAGGGGGAGCCAAGAGCTCACAGATGGTACCAGCAGCAAAGCTGGGACTCTTAAGGGCTTGGACCTGGTTATTTGGAAAACTTGTATTTCTCAGACTTCAATCTCTACTGCTACAAGCCCAAAATATTTGGCTCATCATGTTCTGGCTCCCAGCTTAAAAGTTGAATTGCTGTAAAAAAGTATGCAACCATTAATAAATTTTAAAAAATAATTATTTAGAGCATTATGTGTATTATAATGTTATAAATAATGTTAATAATTATAAATAGGCCAATGGAGCCTAGAAATTGAAGTGGCACAAAGATGTCCCATACAGAAAAAAGTGAAAACTACTTTAAAGGCAGCTGGAAGAAATGAACACATGGGAGAAATGAAAACACCTTTAATGGGGTGCACAGTCAAGTTCTGCATGGATATGGCAACTGGCAAACCAAAGGGAATGTCTTACACTTGGAGGACATGGGTGGAAGGATATTGGCTGCTACTTTTCAGATAGGACATGGAAATCACAAGTGAGGTTGGACTCTTCCCTTTTCCTGCAAGTTGCTAAAACTTATTCTGTGAAATCAGCCTTCTTCAATACACCTATAAATTCTGCTTTCATATAAAATGTCCTAATTTTCCCAAAAAAAGGAAATTTAGCAGCTAACTCAAAGGTTACAAAGAGGAGTAATATTCTAATCTTTTGTTGGCTCCTGCATTAATCACACCATGCTATGTAAGTAGGATGGGTTGTGTAGATTTTATATCTTCCTGTTCTTTAGAAAGCTTTTGCACATAGAAGGGATATACTTTCTCCCATATGACCACATGAGAATGCTTTTAATATTCTCTTATGGTCGATTTTACAAAATATTAAAAAAATGTATCTCCCAAATTTGAAATCATTTCCTTTTCCGTTTGTTAGGGTTTTTTTTTTTTCCTAACATATTGCCTATTTGCATAATTTAATTATTAAAACCCGAAACACCCCATATTAGAAAATGTTGGCAACAGCACAGTACAGGAAAGGTTTTAACGGTACAGAAGTGCACCTGTGAACTTCACAAAACCGAAAGCAGTTTTGGAAATAGTTTTCTGCAGAAGCTGAATGCTGTGTGCCCTCTAGAGCTCATCGGGGGAAGCTCTGGTAATCGGCAGGAACTGTCTTGGTCTGGGGTAGCTCCTAATCACGAGCTCCAGCACTCAGAGCACCCGTGTGCTTGAAAGTCTGGATTCTAAATTGGATCTACACACCAGATATGACTAACAACAAATAAATATCCTGCCTATCAAAGTGGTTAATATTAAAATGCAGATAAATGGAGTAACAGTTTCTCAGTCTAAGAACTGAGGGGAAACCAAGTGCACCAAGAAATCCAGTCAATGAAGTGGCTTTCTGACTTTTGTGATAGTCTTGAAACACGTGGATATTATGGAGCAGCAATGAGTTTGTAGGGATTGGAGCCTTTTGTGGTTCCCTTTCTTTTACCCTGGCACAACCGGGTCCTGCTCTCACCCAGGCACTTCTGAGTGCAGAAAGGAGACTGCAGAGACATGCTGGGAGCAGCTAGAGGTGAACAGCATTTACAGCCACAACATCAAACTCTGGGGAGGAGAGCAGAGGAATGAACCTTTTCTGGCTGAAAAGAAATACTTAAAGCCAACCTCCATCTTTATGGGGTACTTCTCATCTTGATTCATGCTCTGATCTCAGGAGATTATGGTCACCCATCTTCGCTCACTGTGGCTGAGCCAGCAGCAGAGATGAGTGCAACCTGCCTAAGTACTTCCTGCTGCACTCCTGCCAGATTGCTGCCCATCTTTTACTGTCTTATCCTCAGTGTTGCTCCTTTATTTTGAATATTTCTTTTAGGCTAGGCAGTTTTATTTGACCTAAAAGAGTTTATGAAACACTGTCTCTTTTGACCAAGCCGGGTCGTGCTGCCAGCTGGGGATGGTGACTGCAGGAGAGAGTCACTGCTTCTGTGCTGTGGCTTTCCAGTTCTGAGCAGCCTCAAAAGCACTGAGAGCTCTGCACTGTTATATATCCGATTGTTACACAGAGCAATCTCACCCTGGGTCAGGCATGGGAGCCCAGATGGGCTGGAGATACTGTTTTCCAGGGAAGTGCACTGGAGTGCTTGGTCCTGCTGCTGCCTGAGGTCCGGGAAGCTCAGCACGGAATTGCTTAGAAAAAGAAAAATGCCACTTACCGTGGTTTATCCAGGATTCTGCAATATTTAGAGAGACACAGAAGGGCTGGACTCCTTTCCCGAGGTTTGTTGTTTTCCCTCTGCAGTTTTCTCCCGGTGCTGCTGCTGGGGCTCACCTGCCACCCACACACCACTGGGGCTTTGGAAACTGCCACGAGCCTCCTGAGCAGCTGCACCACCATGGAGTCCATGAAAATGTGCTTGAAGAAGGTGTTTCTCTTCATCTTCATGGCTTTGAAAGGCAGTTATGGTCATGAAATTCCAGCTTGTCCAGCTACTAGGTGGCAAGTCAAAAAAACCCCCAGCTTTTGAGTTTTACTGGTCCTTACTTGCTACTGTTGGTGTTTCATTGTAGAACCTCTGCAAATGATTTTTGCATCCATGCCTAATGTAGACATATTTCTGTTAGAGTCTCTGTGTTTAAAATATTGAGAATAAAATGAATCCTGCTATGCTACCAGCACGAAATTCACCACACTTATTTACTCATATCATTAGGATAGATTGGTTTGTTTATTGGGTAATTTTATCAATTTTGCTTCAAGAGTTTCCTCAGAACCTACAGTGCAATCCTTGTCTAAACTGCAAGCAGCATAACTAATAAATTCTTACTGCTTTCAATTTTTCTGGTAGCTTAATTGAATAATTGAGTATTTTCTGCCTAAATAAAGAAGTAATCTTGCTCTAACAGGTTAGTGATACTTTCGAGACTTGCAGTTTGCTTTCTGGTCACGCATTAGTTACATTTAGAGCTGGATTAAGCTGATTAGGAAATTAAGGTCTGGGCTTTCAAAAGAGCTGAATATTTCTTGATAACTCAGGTTGAGCTAGGACATTTGGGGGTTCCTTTTAATTATGCCTCAGTCCATTTCCTGAAAGTCACATTCCCCCATTACATTGCATCAAGTGAATCAGCCCCAGTTGACAGTAAGTTCCGTGAATTTGGAGCCCTCACATGCACATAAGTCCTGCATGTCCTTAGTAGGGAGCAATAAAAGAAATGAATTTTACCACCAAATAAACACCATTTTGCTGTTAATAACTGAGCAACTAGTTTTGCATTTCCAAACCAATTGAACTATTTTGATTGAAATTTATTTAAAGTTGAATTTAAAATTCTTGGAACTGCGTGTGAGCGGGTGGGGTTGAGGACACGTGGCAGCCTTCATACAATCCTCAAAAGGATCGCTTTGGATTTTGTAGGTGCAATGTAGTAAAATTCATAAAGACAGCTTGTGTAACTATTTTAAATGAATTTCTGCCCCAAAAGCACTGAGATAGTGCCCATGTGACAGTGTTTTAGTGCTCTCTGCTTGCACACCAGGAAGGAAGGGAGCAGGAGCTCAGTGCAGGAGCAGCTCTGCTGTCTATGTGCTCACAGTGAGGAGGGAGCTGAAAAATTGACCTGCTCTTTACTTCAAGTTTTGGTGTCAAGTTTAACGTTGCTTTTTCTTCCTAAGCAGGTGTGAAAGTAAAGAGCTGGATGTTGAAATAAGGAACCTGATAGGGAAGAGTAACACTTCCCAGTCGTGTGAGGACCCCAAACCTATTGCACAAGAGACTCCAAACCCTCAGAGAACTTCGTGTTCCCTTAAGGTAAAGGCACTGTGCTTTTGCAATGTTTATCTGCCAGGAAGGAACATTCAGGGGATGTTCCCTGGGTGACTTGGTTATGCATGAAACTTTGGGATTTCTGAAATGATGCAATGAACTTGCTACACATTTATTTTTCCCTCATATAGCTACTTTCTGTTAGGAGGAAGATTGACTGAGAAGTTACGTTTTGCAGTGCTTTAAAAGGTCAGCTAAACCTGCTGATGATCCACTCTGCAGCCACATGTGCCTTTTGGATAACACAGAGCCCTGAAACTATATAACCCCAAAACCACTGTCATTTCTTTAGGTTGTTTGGTAGCTCTGGTTTAACTGAGAATGAGCAGAGGTGTGTGGGAGAGAGATCTTTGGAAGTGTCAGAAAGGCTTTTAGATGAATAGGAAGGAAGAAGGAAGATGCTGATGATTCAAACCCACACTCCTGTGGTATTGCAGACAGAGAATTGTCAGCCACCTGCCAAGGCCCCTGTCTTTGCCTGCAGTGAAGCAGTGGTTAACAAGCATGACAGAAACTTGTTCTCAGGTTTCCATCTCAGTTTCTCTCCTCTCCCCTGAAATAGTGAATATGGTAGAAGGACAAAAGGAATTTCCCTGTTTCCTGGAACTGGGAGCAGAAGGAGTGATTAAGCCCTGAATGCCATCCACCTGCCTGTGTGACACTCCCACGGGCTGGGGGAAGGAAACCTCTGAAGGCTGTACCCCCAGGCATGATGCAGGAAATTGGGGAGGAGGTAAAAGAGAGATAGATGACTCTCTTCGATGAAATCCGAAATTACACACGGCTCCTTTCACATGCAAACCGCCAGCTCCAAAATGAGTCATGACCTCAGGGCACGAAACCGAGCTGAGCCTAAGGAGACACCCCAGGGTCAGACTAGTGGGATTAGAAACAGTGAGAGGGAAGCCACAGGGAGGGATGGGGATTCCCGGATGCAGGGGGAGGAATTAGCACGGTGAAACAGAAGCCAGCCCAGAGTCAAGGAGCATCCAGCTTGGAAATGACAAGCCACAAATGAGCTGTGGAAACACCTGCTTCCCCACGTTAGGCTCCCTCCAGCAGAAGGAGAATAGGAAAGGATTTGAGGAGGAAAAAGAAGGGATGTGCTTTACCTCAGCTGTTTCTGTGGGGTGCTTCGGTGCTCACCCAGAACACCGTGGCAGTATTTGTTCTGTCGTGCCTTTCTCTTTACATTTATGGCACCGTTTTTTGCCTGTGAAAGATGTGTGGTTTTCACAGCTTGAAGGAGGATGGTTTATGATATTTCTGCATTAGAAACATGCTGGGTATTTTTTATTTATACTTTTAAGTCAAGCAACTTTTCACTTGGCTGGTTGTTGAGCTGGACTTCAAGTGAGTGACAGTTTGACAGTAGTGATGGGCTTCAACAACCTCAATATAAGACATTAGGAGCACATGTCTCAGGTTGTGTGGTTTGGAAAAGGAGGTCATATTTTTAACACCTAGCAGACTTTCAGTTATGAAGGTTATGAAATAGTATTTGACAAAAAAAACCCCACACCAGAAAATGTAAGTTGGTGAAATTAGGTGCTGATTTAGACATAAAATAAAGGGAAAATAACATATTTAGGAGGTAGGGAAAAGTTAATAATGAAACAAATCATGACCTTCTGTGTAGTGTTGTTCATTCATCAGGAAGTTATTTGGCAGAGCCAGCAAGTTGTTTTCATTCTGTAATTTCTTTCAGGAGGGGAGAGTACAAATTGCACTCTGCAAAATGGTGTTTCCATCTGAGCTTAAATTGCTTTCAAGACTTACCTGAAAATGTCTGTAAACAGATTCTCCTTCTCACCAGGATTTTTTTCATAGGAATTTATGATATTAGTGTGGCTTTAAATGCAAATATTTGAGAGAGATAAAATGTAGGTCTGCAGAATGAACCCATTCTCAGCACATCCTTCAGCGGTACTACTTTAACTGCAGCTTGTCAGGATGCTGCATTCTCCACTCTGGGAGAGGGAAAAGATTTGCATCAAAAGACAAATATTACCCAAAAGTACTAATGCAGAATGTATTGAGTATATCTAGTGCCTGATCAAGATTTTGAACACAGGAGGGATGTTTCCTGGGGGAGGCGAGGGTGGATAAAGGTATCAAATAGGAAGGGATAACTGGCAGTGTGTGAACATAAAGTAAATTTGCGGAGATACCATATTTCATAGGATCCATTGGTAAAAAAAAAAGGGCCACGATAAACTTTCAAGCCCCTGAACTGTTTTGGGTGTGAAGTGAGAGAAAAAAAAAAATCATTCAAGGGCTATCTGTGCTCACAACCACTGTGTTATAAACTAGAAAATAGCCTGTTTGCTACAGTTCCAAATGATCACCCAGTTATTGTGCCATGAAACCGGGACTTTCATCATCAGACCCGAGTTTGCAAACGCTTGGATACTTGAGTAGCCATGCCCCTGTGGCTGGTCTCCTTGGCACTGCTGCAAACCAGTGGATAAAGGAAATGCTGAAACATGTTCCTGAAACAAAGGAAACGCTGTGCTACGTTTTACTTACTCAGAAACCACGTCTTGCTCTAATTTGATCTGGTTGGTTCCCACCTATAAAGACACGTGTTTGCATCTGCATGTCAGAGAGAGTTTGTAACTGAGCACCACAGAAGGCTGAGGCTGACACACTTGCTGAAGGGACAATCCCTTCCCAGCACACTTCTGTGGTGAAGCACACACACCAGGCTGGGACAGGAGGAGGTATGTTCTTCTTTTGGTTTAGGAGCTAATTTTACTCTTCAACCAGAATCTCTCATTTCTTACCGTTTCACCATGTGCACCGGAATGGGAAGAGGGGCTGTGAAGGATACTGTGGCAAGCACTGCTGGCATAACAGCAGCTTCAGGAACAGAGCCAAAACCAAAGCTCAGCCAGCACATAAGCAAACAAAAGGTTCTCCAGAAGCCACCAAATTTTAACCCAAGTAATCTCAGAGTTAATCTAATTTCTCCAATTATGCAACTGAACAGTACAATAAGTAAAAAATAAAAATCAAAAAAAAATTCCCCAACAAACCTCACAGTGGATACACAATCAGCTGGGGGGGGGGGGGGGGGGAAGAAAAGAAATGACTTTGCCATTTTATCATCATCAAGGAAAGATCACATTTACTTGCATCAAGCCTTTTAATGGGTCTTCGTTTCACTGCACTGAACAGACTAAATTTCCAGAAGTGACAAATGGCTTTCATTATCTTAATTTATGAGTGATATTTTGTAATACTCTAACAGAAGGCATTCCAGAATTAAGATCCAGCACTCTGAAAATGAGACCTTTTATCTTCTTGTGGTGCCAACGCTTGGAGGATTCAATGTTGGCTACAGCTCCAAGGCCTTCATTTTTCTCCCATTGCAAGCTTCCCAAACATGGCTAAAAGGCTTTTACACTCAGAAAGCTCAGGTCTTCCTAGAATAGAAACTAAAATATTTCTCATTTTTAAACAAGAGTGGTAAAAAGAAGTCCAATGTCAAAGCTGCTACTAAAAGAAATTACAGAATATTATAGAAATAGAAGAGAAATTAATAAAAGGCTTCTAATCAGTTCATCTCCCTTTGCCCTTGGAGACAGTGTTTATGCTGCCACTTGGGAGTTAACTCAGGGAGTTTCAGAGGGCAGCAAATCTTGCCTGGTCCCATTTACTTCCTGGGAAGCTTTTTCCATACCTGGCAGACTTTTCGGTTTGCAACTGCATTTACAGTCTGGTGGTCAACCGGAATTCTCAGAGCAATTTAAAACTGTGTATGTGGTTCAAAGGCTTCAAACCAAGTAGAAATACTTCAGAATGTTTTTGTCTTTTTGACTTTTGAAGTCTGATAGTTGTCAAGAGCCCCTCTTTCCAGGATTTCTTATATATCTCAGGTTTCTGAAGTGCTGTTGTACAGCTGAGTTGTCCTCGACTCTATTGCCATAGACCTAAACAAACGTGGTATCTTTATCTCTGCAATACCAACAAAAATGAACGTTATCACCTCCTTCTGTTTCTTTTCAGTGCTATTAACTGTTTCTATAAAGGCAGACAATGATTTTGCTTCAACCATTCCCAGTTTTTGCTGGAAGAACACCACCACCTCTGGAGAGCTTGAGCTTTTGTTCCCTAATCATTGGCATTTAGTTTATAATCTGCAATGTTGTCACTGGGGAGGGATGTGCTCCAAGACTAGTTTTCGTATAGGCACAGACAAAATTAATTTGTTTTTTTTGATGGGTAGGATGACTCCTATGGAGAATCTGAAATGTCTTCATTAGAATAACCTTAAAATAACATTAAAAAACCTGCAAGTTTTCCAGTTACTCCATAAACCAGGAAAACCTAAAAAGAACGTCAGGGTAAGGAGGATTTATATCATATGCAAATATCATAAAGTAGTAGCTTTCTTCCAAATTGGGGTTTGTATCTTGCAAAAGAGGAGTTGCTTGGTCACACATTGTGAACCAGAAATCTGGAACGTTGTTGTTAAATTCCAGCATTTCACAGGATTGCTTTACTTTGTCTAAATCCTTTTCTGAAAACGGAAGGAAGGATTTATATTATTTTTTGTCATATTTCACAGGCTAGCATTCATTCCATTCCTTGAAAATTAAATAAGTAACCTCTCTTGCCACTGAAAAATCTCTAGACATAGAGATCTTTGCACAATAAGGAATATGATATTTCTTTCATACTTCCTTCTAAATTCCATTATTATTCAGAAGACTGAAGGTGACAATATTTTGCACTTTTCTATTTTGTTCTGACTTTGTATGTGAAGTCTGTGGAAGCCTTTTCTTTGTTGATCTCTCCTGTAAGTTTAACTTGGTAAGGTTAACCTCTTTTCCCAAATGGGAAACTAAGACACGAGTTTGGAGTGTTGGATACCTTGAGTACTCAAGTCTTGAGTAGCTTGAAGCTTAGATCCAGCTTAAGTGTAAGACAAGTAGCAGAAGTGAAGATAAGATGTCCTTAGGAGAGGAATAGCAACCCTGTCATTCTTCGTCTTTGTGCAGCTTTTCTTGAGGGAAATAAATCAATTTTCCAATTATGGTTTTCCCCTAAACATTTTGAGGTTTGTATGGGGCTGTTAACAGACTTGGCTATTGCTTCTTTATGAGCAGGGTACACTCTGTCCTAGTGTCACTTCATAATGGTACTTACATAAGTCTTTTTTCACAACTGGAAGCAGGGATAGAAAAGCCTGTGCTCTTATTTACTGAAAAAGCATATCCCCTTCCTTCCCTTATCCTTGCAACTTCCTCTCTGGGGAGATCTGGCCAGTCCACTGTGATTTACACTCACTCTGAGCAGAGAAAGAACTGCCTTGCCTGGCATATTAGTCACAAGCAGTGTGCTTCATCCTTTCTGGAAAGCCCCAGCCAGGAAGGAGGAAAAGGTTAAAATCAGAATTCCACCCCTTATTTCTGAACCTTGGCTGCTTCCACAGGCAGCACTTGTGGATCTCCTGGTTCTTAAAGCCACTCTCCTGCTCCTTTAGCCAGCAGAAAACATCTGTTCCGTTGCTCTTCTTCTTCCAAAGGTCCACAGTGAGACAGCCACTCAAGGCCATCTTGGATGCACGTGGGCAGATGGGAGTGACATGGAAGCCCCAGCAGACCCACTGGAAGTAAGTGACTTTTTTAGCTGTTCTCTGAAGAGTTTTCTGATTGTCAGGAACTCCTTGAGCTGGTGCAGGTATCATGTGTGTGACTTTGTAGACTGACAATTGTGGATTCACTTTTGTGTTCCAGTGGACTCTTCTGAATGATTTACAAGGTTTAAAATCAAATAGAAATATTTTTGGATATGGCATTCTTAGAAAGAAAACTTTTCCTAGCATTTTTTTTTACCTTCTAGAAGTATTTGGTCATTTTAATTTGTTGTTGCACAAAAGGTACAAAGTGGTTCATTTTAGTGACCCAGAAACTTCTGTGAGCAATATCCAGTCTGGTTGGTGCCAAGTGTATGTATAGTTGTGAGACATGTGAGTGGTCTTACTCATATCAATATTAATTTTAAACATGCAATTAAATATATGCCTAAGAAATTCAGCGTCTGAATAACTCCATTGGCTGCCAGGTATCACTTCAGATAGTTTAAGTTAAACATGTCTATGAACTACAAGAGGAGGGATTAAATGTTTCCTGCCTTGGAAGTCAAGGGTTCCACATTTGAGCTCAGCAGGACTGACCACAGGGCAAATATGTGGTCAGGACTTTTGCCTATGAAAAGACACAACAAAACTCTTCTTTGATCCTCGTTGGTATTTGGCATTAAATTCTCTAGCTGAAGAAAATTTATGTCAGGAGATTCAAGGCCTCAAAAGCGATCACACTTTTTTTTCTGGTTTTTCATGTGTTGGTTGAGGATTTAGGGAGGGAAACAAAACTCCCTGAGCAGTACATTTGTACATAGTATGTTCTTTTTTTATGAGCATGCCTCTTTTTTCCAGTGCAGTTCTCCCTCTCTCTCTGATAGATCACATGTTTGTTTTCATGGCAATCCATAGAAACTTCTTGGAAATTATGATCTGTGGCACTACCATTATAAAAATGAGGGTTGTTGCTGTTGTCCTGCATGGGCCAACCCCCACGCTTTAAAAAACAACTGCAGACTGATTTCCTAATTTCTCCAAATGGCCTATTTGTTTTCTGGGTTGCTTGCTTTGAGCCCGCTGTGCTAAAGTTTATTACCTTGGGCCTGCAAGCACTTACCAGGGGCAATGCTACTAATTATTCTGGTTCTTGTAAATGAAGGGAATTACGCCCACTTCAAGTTATGCTCAACTTTTGTGGCTTGTACTAATTGTTTAAATTGCCATCTGTAAGATAATTAAAATCCAATTTCATGTTCTGTCTTTCAGATGGTACAAATAGATATGATTTTGTTTATTTCAGTGGCTGTTTGCATAATGCTTCAATTAAAACACAGACTAAGCAAGGTTAAGGCAGATGTACACTTCAGAATCTGCTCTCAGTAGGTGTGAAGGTACCAAAATACAAATGCAATGCAGGAAAAAGTTTCTGTTTCAGTTCCTTTACGTGCACCTGCCAGAGTGGATGGAGCTTTACACAATAATCATGCCAAAAGCATGAATTTTTGAACATTTCTTTTCTCCAGTCAAGGCACACATTACTGACCAAAAAGAAGACTTCATCACCCAGTTCTCTGGAACAACATATCCTCTCACTGGAAAGACAGAGACGAGAGGTAACCGTAGATATACCCCTAACCTTTACAGAGAGAACCTCTAAGACAGACCTTACAGTATCAGTAATGGAAGCAGGAAATCACTGAATGTGTTATCACTGTTAATTACACTGTATTTAAGTAGCTGTTTGTTTTATCCACCAGTCCAGCAAGGCCTGTGTTCTTCCTCTGAGAGTCTCATCCTGTGCTCTGGTCAGATAATTTCTATGTGGATACTTGTCGCTTTGCATTTCTTCCCAGCTTGAAGTGTGCAAGCACTTCAATTACATTTAAAATTACGTTTAAAATTACATTTAAAACTAGTTCCTAGTTCTCTGTACCACACTAGGCAGAGTTATATTTAGAGAACTGTTCCTAAAAACAAATGATGACTTATCGTACCGTGGCTATGAATGTAGAAGAGCAGAGATTTATGGGGTGCAAAGGGCAAATTTTATTAATTATCACAGTTGTAAAGGCCAAGGGACAACTGTGAGTAACAGCCAGGGGTGTCTTGGTCACAGGTAACAGCAAACTGGAAGCTGGTCTTTTCCTGAGCATCGTAAAGAGTGACCCTATATCCTTCAGGTCATTTGTTTGGAGTCAAAGAAATTCTAATTGGAAACCTATTTATGGAACTGAAAGCAAACTAGCAGGGAAGTCCTTGGCCATCTAGGAGCTGCAGCTTGGGATCGGTACAGCGCTGCCAATGATTCTCCTGCAGCTTATGGCATATTTGCATGTTTGCTGGATGTTGCTTCCTGAGTGTTCCTGTGCTTTAGCTGGAATACCAAAGCACTGATAGATGGGCTGGAAAGCTTGCCAGACCTTAAACTTGCTTTTTCTGGAATGAACTGCCCAGATGATGAGGAGGTTGTGAACAATCATAGCTGGAGGATTAGAATGCCAGTCTATTTTTGATTTATCAAAGATGTTGAAATAAGGGTTATTAATTGTGACTTTCCTGGTAATTACAGCTTCTGGAGGTGAACAAGCAATGGGATCATCAATTTAGAAACATGAAACAGCTCTATGAAAAGCAGGTAACACTGTTGATGACTTCTATTGGAATATGTATGTCACCTAAGTCTGTGTTCCAATACCAGCCAGCCACAGCCATGGCAAATTCAGCCTGCAGTGCCTGCTGTGCCCAGCCCCTGTTCCTCATCATCACATATTCTGTTGGTTCTTGTCCCATCTCTCGTGCCTGGCTTGGGAAGCCTGGGAGCTCCCTGGGGCCTTGCTGTAATGGTGGAGCTCTCAGGTAAATCCTCTGTGAATGTTGCCCCCTGTAAGCAGGCACTGTCAAGATGAATTCTAGATAAATACTTTTTCTTTCTTTCTTTTTTATGTTTTTTCCCCCAAGATCCAATTGACGTAGCTTTTGTTCCTTGCTTATGGTTGTGTGGCATCACTGCTGCAGCCATTATCATCAGCTGCCCAGTGAAGCTGACTGCTTACAACTTTGCCTGGTATTCCCAAACCCAAGTTGGTTCATTGACTGACACTTCTCATCTATTGCTTCCTGCTATGAGGAGGAAGTTTACAGGATGATCTCATGTGCTCGTCAGGAAGATTTTCTCTTCAGTGTTTTCTGACAAGCTTTACTGAGATCTGAATCATTTACTGTCTCTTTTTTTTTCTTTCTTTCTTCAAAGAGAAGAGAAATTCAAATGGCTCTTCCTCATTTAAAATGGAGTTGTTTTACGCCCCTGGGTAGACACCTTGGAGGTGCTGTGCCTTTGGGAATCTCCAGTCAGCCCACCGTGGTCTGTCCCTTGCTTTTCAGCTGGCAGAGATGAAAGCAAGGCTGGACGCATCGGAGAGGAGAGTGAGCGAGCTGGAGCAGGAGAGACATCGGCAGCAGCCAGGGGATGAGAGGTTGGGAGTGCTGGGCAGAGAGAAGCTGTGGCAGGAAAAGGTAGGAGGGTGCACTCTGTCACCTCCTTTGTGCTCTGTGCTCAACACTTTCTTGCCTTTCATCGTTCTTTGCTCATGCAGGGCCGAGCGTGGGCTGTGAGATGAGATGTGGTGCTGAGTGTTGTAGCCAAGGCAGTGGCTGCTGATGTGCCTCATCAGAAAGCTGTGCACAGAGGGAGAGTCATTTCAGTAGAACCTGGCAGACAGAACAGCATTAGTGTGTGCGTGGGGGGCGTAGAGAGCAGATTGATACAAGCGCTGCAGAGATTTCCCTCCTGGCTGTTCAGTTCAGGGGGAAGTGCTTTGTGAACAAAAATGCTACAGCTATTTCAAATGGAACAGGAGCATCACTGCAGGTGTTACACAAAGTGCTTGGCAATAAATACAATGCATCTCCAGACACCCAGATTTTGGTGTTGGCAATATAGGCTGATTCAGCTCCCTGCAAATGTTAGTAATACAGTCACTGCAGTTATTAGGCCTGGTCAGCCACTCTAGAGTGCTGTTCACCTCACCCTGACAGTGGCTGGGCTCCTCTCTCAAGACTCCTTGGGCACTGGCTCTTATGTATTCTTTTGCATCTAAAATTCCTAAGCTGAATTCCCACCTCAATAAAACCACCAGCCAGAGTGATCAGCATGTTTATGCCTGACAAACACACAAAACTTTGTGCTCCATTTTCCAAGCCCCACAGAGAGGTGCTTCCTGTTCTCATTCTGCTCAGTGGGATGATGTACTTGGTGACCTCTCATGAGAGTTTCTGGATGTTGATCTGATGGCTGAGGTTGAGCTTCTCTGTTCACTTGGTAACTTGAAGCAAACCTGCAAACAAGTGGCAAACGTGTCACTTCCAGGCTCAGATGAGATGTGAGTTACCTGCTGCAGGAAAAGAAGTGCAAAGCCCTCAGCTTATATCTGCATAAGCTGAACATTCATCCTACCTGCTTATCAATTAGTGCTAGCCAAGCATGTACTTGATTTCCAACCAAGGGGACTCTGTACATGTTTTAAAGCAAACTAAGTCATTATTATATACTTGCTGAATCACTTCCTATATTTACTCTGAGTGTGGATTCAATGTGAGACAATCCATCTGCCTCTTCATACTACTGCCTGCCTTTTAATTTACCATATATGGGAAAAATACCCCTAACTGGCTTTTTATAAAGACAAGGATGAGAATACACTCTGCAAAATTTTTTACTACATACATGAATAATGAAATAAATGACAATGTAATCCAAAAATTTCTTATGGGGTCAGGTTAACCTGCATGGAATTTCAGCCTTAGATCAGCAATTTCTTTAAAAATTAATTATTTTTCTTCTCCCTGGGCATGTCTATGTGCCCATAGACAGGAATTAAAGACTAGCCTAGTCACTGGAAAGTCCCAGTGTCAGAACACCTAAGATTCAGTGTTGAATAAGGAGCAATAAGATGTAAGAATTCAGATGGCTCAAAAACCTGAAGAAACTGGAGATACTTTGTTGTTAATGTTCATGTTCCTGGAGGTGCCAGCCTTTGAGAAGGAGAATGTGTGGAAGGAGCTAGGAAAAGATACCATTCATATGGTGTCCTGTGCACGTGATTGTTTGATCTCGATTTTTTTATTCACATAAAGCAGCTGCAGAAGAATATTTGAAATACTTTCTTTTTCTTTTGTAAAAAAGCTGTTATGTTTCATATGTCCAAACAGCTTTGTTCCAAGACCAGTCTGGCAAAAGTGGGCTAGTGAGGAATGTGTTACCCTGCAAAGGAAGCTTATGGGATGCCATTTGCTTCAGGGTCTGATTTGGATCTCAGCTCCATTCACTGTAAATCGAAAATAGCCACTGTGAAAGCCATAGAATAAGACAGTCAAACTTACAGGTTGGCAAATGTCCTTTAATAATTCTCACAGTACCATCTTGGAAGGCTCGTGTTGCAGGTAGGGACATCTTCCTGGTAGTTTTCTGGAAAGGCAACAGTGCAGGAATATGCACTAGGAATGGTCAGGTTGAAATTCAACAACTGTGATGGGGTCAAAAAAAGGTAGATTTTCAAGCCTTGATTGGTTGCATGGTAAATCTAGAGTGGGCTGAGACCTGTCTCATCTCTCCTGTAGTGAATAAAGCCTTAAGACTATGTGACACTGAGATCTGGTTTTGTCTTTAGTGTTGCATGGCACTGGCAATGGCTGGGACTCCTCCAGCATTTAGCCTTGGCCTTATACTGTGAATACGTAAGAGAAATGCAATTCTGGGGTAATTGCCTGTATGATTCTGCCCTGCTTGGCCTGCCAGCTTTCTCATGGCTTTGTGTGGTTGCAAAGAGCAAGGATTTAGCCTGCTGTGTTTTCTCTGTCCCATCATGTGGTGAGTGGTTAAAACAATGTCTTCAGACTTTATCATATCTGGGCTTCCAACGATCTGCCTTCCTGTTGCCTCCCTTCCCAGCTGTGCTTGGGACAACAAAAAATCCAGCACATCTGTCAGGCAGAAGATACTCTGAAAATTGTTCTTGAAAAACGTTTCCATCTGCACTTCAGCAGCACCTCTCTGTGTTTTTGCATCCCAGAAAGAAACAAAAGTCCTCAGTGAAGCCCTCCACGACATGAGGGAGGAGAACAAGCTGCTGAAGCAGAAGAATGCCTCCATGGCTAGAAAGAAAGAGCACTATGAGGGGGAAATAAGCCGTCTCAATAAGGTAGGAGCAGCAGTGAGCTGCTGACCAGGAGCTGTTCCTTTAATTCCAGGAGCTCCCTTGTCAGGCAGTGACACTACCAGATGCCCATCTTTTCAATCCTGGGTGAAAAAGGTAGCAAACCATGATCAGCTTTTAGGAATTGGGGAAACAAGCAAGACCTAACTTCAGCTAATACCTGTTCCTGGCAGGTAGTAGGGCTGCACTGCAAAGAGGAAAGTTAATGGAATCTTTGGCTTCTCCTGTGAAACCCCTTTCTAAGCTGTTTCTACATCCTCCCTCCTTAGAACAAAAGGGAAATGGCACAAAGATGACTTAATATGCACTGTAGTTAAAAAGAAGTCACACAGTTTTAAAACTGTTGTTTTACTTATGTTCTGTGTTTGAGAATAATGGCTTCTCCTCACAAGACACAGTCCTGTCTTACTGTTTGTACCCATACATATATATATTCATGCATATAAGTATTATGTGTATTTAGGTCTCACTGAGGAAATTGCCATTAAATAGCTAAATGGGATTTTTTTTTTTAACTGAGGGAAAGTAATAAATGTAATTTTGTTTAATCAAAAGATCACATAAAGCAGTGGGTGTTTTCTAACAATTTTTTATTTCATGGTGAACCACAAACACTTCCTGAGGAAATGCACTGCAGTAACCATTGCTGTGTAACTTTAAGTGCTTTAACAAGCTAAAGGGCCATGATGTGCAAAAGTCAAGCCAAAAAACATAATGTTTGCCATAATAAAAAAATCTGTCAGAACATATGATCTCTAGCTCTTTTTGAAATGCATTGACAGGACTTGCTCAAAGCCTCAGTGTAACTTTCATTACCCATCTGTAATGGGTAATGGGTAAATAGAACATTGTTTTAAATGAAACATCGATTCATGTAACACACTTTCCCAACAGTAATATACTGATTTTCTATATATTTGCATCCTTCAAATGTCATGACAGGAATGCACATAAGACTGGAAGGGACCCTTTTAAGTCTAGTCCCCTGCTATTGCAGGTTCAGCCACTTGAAGTTATTACAAATCAAATAACTTCTTCTTCTGTTATTTGAAATGATAAAACAAAGTCTCACACTATTGCTTCCAAATGCAGTTTAAAATAATCTTCACCTTATTTTTCTCTGCTGTTAACCTTTTGAATATTGAATTTTCTGGATACTTATTTTTTTTCCCCTCCATAATCCTGAGATGTAGAACCTCCTCAAAAAGGTATTAAAAAGTGGCTTAAAAAGGAACAAAAAGTAAGCTAATCAGTCAGGTATCTGTATCTTCAAACTCCCATGCTGAAGTTCAGCCTTACTTTTGTGTTGACATGGAACACAAGCTTTGCCACTATTATAGCAATTTCTCTTCTGCACAATCCTTAGGGATAGCAGCTCATCAGGTAAAAAGCCTTCCTTTTCTATGCCTTCCATGGAAAGGGCTTGTTTTTGATTGGCCTTTTGATAATTGATTAAAAATTGTTCCAGTCCCAGGGAGAGCTGTGTAACGTAATGTGTTGAAAAATAAACAAAATCTGCAAAGAGCTGTGGCAGAATTTCACTATAAAACTGAGCAAGAGTGGTACAATGTTGTGTGTATTCCTAACTCCCTCTAGTGACAAGCTATCGAGACTACACAACGTCCTCTCAAACAGGAGAGTTTGCTCCGTTCCAGTTGAAGAAATCTGTACTTTTAAGTGCAAAAAATGTTTCGGTCCGACTTTCCCCTAGTCACATTTTTAGGCCATCTTTAAATATTACTTTTATTTTCTTGGGGTGTTTTTTTGTTTGCTTGCTTTTGGCCTCAGCTAAGTTTAGACACCTGTCTGTTTTCCCAAATTCCAACTTGCACAGGGAAATGGTGTTTATGGATGAGATTTGCAGCTGTGATTTCCATAAGTAAATATTGTGTATGGTTATAAGTAAAAGCACAGTCCCCTAAATTGCACTGACTCAAATTCTTGGATGTAGTGTGGTATCTTTGAAAGTGTGGACCTAGTCATGGATATATGTTATTCGTGGGGTTTATATCCAGTGTATATAATGGAGACAAATGCAAGTGAAGGGAAAACCTCTTTCTAAGAATTTAAAAGGATATTTTTTTCCTTTTCATGTAATGAATCTCTACTTAGCATTTTTGCTGTTCGATGTTACAGGCCCTTCTGGATGTGTTGAAAAAGCAGCACTCGCCTGTCCTTGGGACTCCCCTGGGGAAGGGTGACAGGAACAGCATTGAGGAGATGAGAACCCAGCTTGAAGTGCTGAGACAGCAGGTAAGAGCAGCTGGAAGTAAGGCTGGATGGATTTCACACAGCATAATTTTGCCTTGTCTCCCAAGAATTGTACCTGGCAGACTTGCTATGCAGAGTTTTTGAAAGGAAGTCTTGGAAAACTAGAACGTTGGCGTTGCAGTTTTTCAAGCATGAGGAAAAACATTTACATCCATAACCTACATCCCAGTTGCTATAGATGTGTATTTATTTCTTCTTAAATCTTTGTTCTGAACAATTCAAGTGCTTTGTGCACTGCCTTTCTTTCCATGTGAAAGAACCTGTTTAAAAAACATTATCGTTTTCTGATAATTTTACATTTTGGGTCTGGACAGTGTTAGGGGTAATGTTATTGACACACAAATGGATGTGATCAGAATGTGAATTTTATTCAATGGGAATAAAATACTTGTTTCTGTCACGTTTGACAGCAGAGCCAGATTTTGCTCTCTAATGTAATGCTTGCCACATGCCGGAGAACAAAATCCTGCACTTGATTGTACAGTAATAACTTATTTCATTCTACACAATAAAATAGAGTAAACCAATTCTTTTTTCCAGAATTCTCATGGGGTATCCGTGTTATGAGTGTATTTTTCTAGTTGTATAAATCAGTACAGTGAGCCCAGACTTGCTTGTACACGAAGTGGAGCAGGAGGCTGTAACTGTATGGAGAGGGGACTCCTGGGACAAACAGTGACGTGGCAGGGTCTCACCAGAGCCTGGTTGTCATCAACCCATCCCTGGTCATGAGAGGAGAGATGAAGGCATTCTTTCCTTGGGAGGTGTCCCCCTCTATGCCAAAGGGGTTCCCTTGCAGCTTCAGCACGTTGTAGGGCTGGGGAGTGAGAGGGAGGGAGGCGGGACAGAATCGGGAGAGAAAAAATGAGGAAATACTGAGGAGGGAAGTGTGTAGCTGGACAAGGGGCACAGGGATTGCAGTTTTGCCTCTGCCTTGGAGGGTCAGGGGTGTGCAGGCCTTCTCCACACATGGCCTGTGGAGCAGAGTCCCCCCACAGCCACACAGAAAGCCTTTGTTCCTTTTCCACAGTGTTATTCAGGAAGGAGGTTCTATCTAGTGGGGACCATGAGGTCCAAAAAAACTCTTGCAAAAATTAGCTGCAACAGGCAATTTGTGAAAATAATTTTTAGAGCCCTGTGTTGACTTTTTTCTTCCCCTGAGGTATTAACATTTCTTTAGTCCTTCTGTGAAGTCATAGTCCTGCTGCCAGCAAAAGGAAAACTGGATCTATCTGATGGGCAGGGCATGAGCCACAGTGAGAAAGGCCTTTGGAAACAGACTGTCAGCAGCTTTAGGGAGCAACCAAGAGGACATGAAAGGAGTTCTGAAAGTTCTGGTGGTGGTTCCCACCCAGACATGCCTTTACTGTTATTTGTCAGTAGAAATGCCACCAACCTCCAGCTCCTCACCGGGTGAATTCCTGCCCATTCATTAGCTGGAGAATTCAGCCAGTCAGCTTAACACCGAATAATTGACAGATTTGTGCTTCACTTCTTGCTGCGGGTGGTCAGACATTTTTTTAGTGGGATGAAGCGCTGTGATTCCTGGGGACACAAAAACAGCTAAACCATTCCACCCCTCAGCAGAAGCTTATCTTCTAGGAACCAGGTCAAACATCTGTATTTGCGTTTTGAATTGTGTGCATTGCATTCCCCTCTGCTTCTTCACTGGGGCAGGGAGGTTCTTCCCCAATTGCTTGCACCTGAGCTACAAGAGGGAAGAGAAAACTGAAAAAAGTGTTGGTAAAATCTTTGTCCTGATACTGTTAATCCCTTAAAAAGCTTGATAGTAGTGTTTGCTGTCTGGTTTATAATATTTAAAACTGATATTTCTCAGTCAGCCTTTTCAATATCAAGGGTCTACAAATACTGAAGCTGTGGACTGTTTTGATTGACAGGTGCCATTGGAGAATAGTCATTACTTGTCATTCTGTATTGGTCATAAAAAAAGACAAGGCAAACTTCTGGTTGTAGGATTGTCCAGAGGAGGGGTCCCTTTGGAATGCACTCTGCTGCTTGGGCAGTGTTTAAAAAGCCACCAGACAACAAAAGTGGATGAAGTGGCTCTGCTGAGATTCCCATCCTTGGTATTGACAATTGCAGGTACAAATATATGAGGAAGACTTCAGAAAGGAGAGGTCTGACCGAGAAAGACTCAACGAGGAGAAAGAAGCACTGCAGAAAGCTAACGAGAGATTGCAGTCTCAACTGAATAAACTCAGCGCTCAGGTATGAGGCAAAAGAAAGCTCCCACTGCCAGCACATGTGCACTTTATTTTTGTTTTCTCACTTTCCACGCAACTCAAAGCTTTCTGGCTTCCATTAATTGACATTGGATTTTATATGAGGTCACCACCTGGGATGAAATCATTCTGAAGTAATGCAGTAAGAAGATGAGAAACGATTAGAGAAGGCTTCCAAAATGAGTAGATGAAGGGAGTATTTATTGCAAAAAACTTTTCAAGCGTATCTTAAAATGGAGGCGGGGGGAGGAATTACCAAAAACAAGTCCAGAGGACTTTGATTGTTTCACTGGCACTTGATATAAGAGTTATAACATCAAACAAACTTTTGAAATAAAGAGCTTCTCTAGTTAACCCTGACCTCTGCAATTGAATTACAGGGATGGTAATATCACTGAGGAACAAAACGGGCTCCATACAAATGAGCTGAGCAGCCGCCGCAATAATTTTTTCTTGCAACATCCTTTTTATCTCTTCAAAGTAGTGTCAGTAGGAAGCCATAGTAAAATCATGGCATGCAAAACTCCAAGCTTTCTCAATCCCCATTAAAAAAAATGACGAAATTTCGAGGTTTCCTGTCTTGACGAAGTTGTGCAATATTTTAAAAGAATGGCCGGTTACCAGCATGTTCTGTGATGATTTATTGTCCTCCCCGACATTGTTGTGAAACAGAAACTTCAGTATTGACTTATTCTCAACCAGCCCAAGCATCAACACTAGTAAGGTCTTGCTGTAGTATCAGAGGCAGTGAAGAGGGGGGTCTAAAAATAGGGCTAAAAGGCCTTTCCCACTCCTCCCCAGGAGGATCGGGAGAAATGCCAGCACCTGAAGGGCTGTACAGGTGCTGTGTAACATGTATGTACAACTTGTCTGTCCCTGTAGTGCATCCACAGTTCACACTGGAGATCTTCTTGTTTGTCTCTTCCTGCCTCAGGATTTGATTAAACAGAGCTTGTGAAGGATTTTAAAGATGAGAGCAACCATACAAAATATTTATTAGTTTGTTTTCTTAAGTCAAATCATTTAGTTGTGACTCACAGAGTCACAGAATGTTAATCATCTTGTACCCCTCCTTCCTCTGTCCTGAAGCAAATTCCTGTTGACTTTACTGTAATGCAGAGGGCCTAAAGAAAAGGCAGGCCTAAACCTTGAGGCCATTGACTTTGGTCCTATACCAAAATTATTTACTTTTCTTGTCATGCAAATGTCCATGTAGTTCTGCTTCAAATTATTGAAAGCTGCTGTGTGTAATGAAAATATAGAATACTTGAATACAGAACACACCCAGAAACGCGCTTGTCATATCTTGAAACCAATATTTTCCTCACATAAAAAGTGCCAGGATTCTGGTGTGGCGCCTTCCTAAATAATTTTTAAACAATAAGTAGTCAGGAGGGGCTAAACAGGCAGCATTGTGACCCAGTGCTGAGAGAGGAGGGCTTCTTCCCCGTTGCTTTTCATTGATGAATTTGTACTTGACTATTCTGTTGGTTGTTGTATCCTGCTGATGATGCATTTCTTTTTATTTTTGTGACAGACGAAAGACCTTCCAGTACAGCCTGAGAGGCCCAGTTACCCACCTCCACTCTTCCTCTCACCCTGTGTGAATTATGGGAGGTGTGGGATGGTTCTTCACTATGCAGATCCTCGAGTACAACCAGGGCCTTGCAGGGCACATGAGCAGCAGCAGCACTTGGTAAGATTCCCACTGCTTCCCATGTGTCAAGGACACTGATTTCCTCTCAGCATGGTGACCACAGAATAACTGGTGCTATCACAGTGCCCTCAACACCAGCAACTGAATTTGTGGTTTCACAGTTTGTTGTTAGTTCCAGATCAATATCAAATTTACTTTGTCAAACACTATTTATCTATAATGCCCCTCAGAAGAAAAATCGGGTTGTTCTGTTGTAAGGAACATTTGTACCTTAATTAGGAAATTTAAGTTGTTGGATTGGAGTCTTGCTGATTCTTTAGGTAAATTTACAACACTCATTCAGAGCCCTTTCTAACTGTATAGCTACCCACATTCAGGATTATGGGTCTGCTCTCTGGAGCCCAGTTCTGACCCTTCAACCTACAATAAAATAATACGATAATAAAAAACAAATCAGCAGAAGTGGAAGGTGTATCTGAGTGTGACTAACACCATGGGAAATTTGCCTTTTTTCCTCAGCACAAGGAAGAATAGCTTTGCATTGGGGCAGGTTATGTGAGGGGGAGTTATCTATTTCAAGGAAAATACTGCTTCAAAGAAAGGTATTTTCGAAGTGCTCCGGGTTATCTAAGTGGGCTGTGCTTGTTCCAATCTAGTAAGAATGCATTTAAACATGGTGAATGTCATTTTAAATACTCAGTGCCTGTTTCTGGCTGTAAAGCTGTCACATATGGAAAGATGCTCATTATTTGGGAAGTTATAGCCTTTTGAAAAATGCATGTAAGGCTTTCAGACTGCAGAAATCCAATGGAAAGGCTGCTGTCGGACAAGTAATTTCTGTGCTTCGGGAGTGTGCTTATCTGCCTATTTATCAAAGTTGGAAGTATTGCAGAATGTTTTTCACTGCAATTTGGACACCGGCCCAGATTATTTTGGCTCTTCTCCCTGAACTTCCATCATCTGGGTTTCTAGTTCTGTGAGGGATCACTGGGTTTACGGCTCTGCCATTCCTGCCGGAGCGCCGGGGTCACTTTGCCTCTCTGTCTTGTAACTCCCCATTTCATCCCGACCCTTGTTTGAAATGCTGTGCCTGGGCCAGTGCAGCCTTGCTGCTCTGAGCTTTGGGAACCTCCCTGAGCAATTTGTTAGCAATGAAGGAAGGTGTTAGAATTTAATGAGTGTCCTGATACCTAATCCTGGGTGTTCAGTCTGTGCTTTTGCTTTTTCAGTCTTTTTATATCTTGCACTTTTTCTTTCCTCTTTACACTGGTAGTGGAAACATTTTGTTTAGTCTTGTTTCTGAAATTCATTCAAGTTTGTGTGGTGCAAGTAGCTACAAAAGAGAAGAGTTGATCAGAGAACAGAAAATCCACCAGAAAATCAAAAAACCCAATGCAAATAAATGAGTTTGAGCCACTGGTGGGAAAACTACCTGTACTAAAAGCAATGCAGCCTTGCTTTGTGTCAAAGCCTATTTTGTTTTCCCATAAGCATGAAATTAGTTAACAATTCCTGTTAACAGTACAACTAAAGTGAAAATACAACAGCTCTTTCTGTCCTGAAGGATGAGAGTAAACACTGCTATGTAAGTGCGGGTGACAGCAAAACACTAAAGTTAAATCTGTTTTCTGTATCTACAGCTTCATCCTGCCATCTTAATTTAGGCAAAACTTCTTTAGAATTCTCTGAAATTTGTTGCCTACAGATTGGAATCTGTAAGATTCCCCTTGGCATGACTCAGGATTTTGTCAGAGTAATTTCTGCGAAACAAGAATTATTTTTCCAGTTTAGCAGATCTGAAGCAGCAGTTACCTGGAATTTGACAAGCTTGCATGTAGTACTTACACCACAGACAGCCTAACCTGAAACGTCTGGTCCCAAAGTTGTTTTCTCTAGTGGTAGTTTGCAGCTCATTTACCACAGTGTGTGGTGTAAACTATAACGCACTATTTCTTTCTTGCAAGATTTCCCTGAACAAAACTGTATTTGCATGGACATAACCTTCCCAATACTTCCTCTTATAAGAAAGATAGGAATTTTTTCTACCTCACAATATTTTCAATAAGTTATTTGATAACAGCTAGTGGCTTGAGGAAAGGGAGGGGGGGAGGGAACTTCATTCCATGACTAACTCCTGTCCCACTGAAGCATGTTACAGGTGTGTTCAAACTGGAGCAGCTTCACCTGGCAGGTGTACCAGGTTTCTCTGAGGTGTTTTAGCACAGACATGCCTGCTGGTATCTTCTGCACTTCAATCCCCAGCTCTTTTAAAATCTGATTTGGTTCTATGAGTGTTTCTTTTGATTTGTGGGATCTAGAAAGGTTTACACCAACATTTCTGATGGGTGCAACATCTAAACCCCGTGCCATAGAAAAGGAAGCAAGCTGAGGGACTTGGATCAGTGGAAACATAAAGCTAAATATAAGATTTTTTCTGTAAACTACTTTTGTATGACTAATGAAAAGCTTCACAGCACAATTATGTTTTTATCATGTCCCTATTCTTCTGTTTGAAGTGTCTGTGAAGGCCATATTGCTGCAATAATGTTTTATTGTTCTGTGCAGCCAGACTATCAGTGGTATGTTCCTGACCAGCTTCCGCCAGATGTGCAGCACAAGGCAGATGGTAAGACAGCAGCTGTTCAGAGCACATATTAAATGTACTTTTATTTTAAGTGGAGGCCTTTGAAGAATGCAGAGCAAACTTTCCTATCTATCTGTCGAGTGCTTATGTGGCAGCTTTACCTTGGAGAGGTTGGGGTATGTACAACACAGGTGAGGTTTCTAATGTAACACCAGCACAGCTTTCAGCTTCACTGCAATTCATAAAACGTCTCTATTACACGTTATAGGATCACACATTTGCCCCATAAAACACCTGGTAATAGTCCTAAAGAAAAGATATTCTCAGAATTCTCCTTAGAGCTTCTATTGCTCCAGCTGAGACCGAATTTGATGATGTGCTGAACCTGGGGGCCAGCATGGGTTTAGAAGTCCTTGGTAACAAAGTACAGGCTTTAGGATGTTGTTTCACCTTAAGGGCAAAATGCCCATTGCTGTTCTTGATCTGCTCTGATAGTTCAGGGTGCCAGGTCTGAAAAAAAAAAAGCCATGTAAATGAACAGAGTTAAATAGTTGCTACAGTGTCAGTACAAACTGGGGGTTTTTTTGTGGAAACCAGGAGGAATATTTAATATTTGTACCTGGACTTGAAACCATTCCTGGTTGTTTTGAAGTACTTGTTTCAGAACACTCAAAAGATGGATGCCAGGGAGCACAAGGAATCTCTTCTGGATAGGAGTCTGCCATTCCATGGTGCAAGTGGGTACCATATGGGGTGGCAGGGACTGGTGAGTCCAGAAGCTGTTTTTTAACATCTAGAAGAAGAAGATGGCTACAGAGGAACTATTCTGCTATTTATTGTTGTCCACATTTGCCCAGAAGAGAGGGTAGGGTGGGAATGGAGCTTGCCAAAATGGCTGATGAGCTTCCCGTAATTACATGGCAACTGTGTGGAGGGCTCTGATGTGGTCACAGGGAAAGTAGAGCTGTGACTGCAGGAGAGAACAGGAGATTAGTTTTGCTGTTCCTCCCACTTAGACTTGAAGTGATTTATTGCACCAGAGGATACAGGGAGGTTATTTGTAACAGGGAATGAAACAAGGCCACCAACTGCAGCCGTGGGCCAGGGCAGTGCACTTAGGGGATCTGAGGAAAGAGAGTTCTTCTCTTACCCTGCTTGACTATGACTTGACTTCTGGCTCCCTGAAAAAAAGCCTTTTAAAAATCCATTAAATCCAGTCTTTCTATTACTGTTCCTTGCCCAGAACATCCAAATACCTCCTTTGTCAATGGGACAGTGAGTAGGACACTTGGAGACTTTCCCTGCCCTTTTTTCCTTCAGTTCCTCATTTCTTGATGAGTCCCATCATAGCACTGGATGTCTGCTTTAACATCTTTAGGGCTCTTTTTATCTTGGCTGACAAAACAAAGATGATTTTATTAGCCATTGATCACACAGAAGTCCAGCTTCTATCAGTTAAATATATTATATATAGGTGCATATATTATATATAGTGGTCTCTATTAAATCTGCATGTAAGTATTTTGAGAAAGGTTTCAAAGATAGAAACCCCAAGAATATGTGATGACAAAGTATCCCAATGTTCCAATTTCTTTGTTCTATTTTGTGCAAGTGCTAATTACAATGGGGGTTTTAAATGAGCCAGTATGTGCAGCAGCATTCCTGAATCTCTTTTTCTCATCCTTCATTTTCTCATTAGATGATAAACTGACCGATAAATCTTATCTCTGCTGAGCTAGGACTTCATTATAGAAAAACAAATCAGCAGTGCAGCAACTTTTAGACATGAAGCAGTTTCCTTTAGGAATGCTATTTCAGTAGATTGATATTTCTAAGGAAAAGCCTTAAGTTTTCCTTAACAAATTTTCCTTTGACACTGGGCATTTTTTCTTAAGTTAGTAATTATAAAATATAGATCACAGGTTGTTACTTTAGAGCTGAACAGAAGTGAAATGAATTGGGAAACTCATATTTTTTATAAGTTTATTCTCCAGACTGCTGTTGTCCCCAGAGATGTGTTTTGGTAGTTGGCAGAGGATCGCTTAAGCACAAGCCTGTGGAGCAATGTTGTGTCCAGTACTGAACTCTCAGGGTGGTGTGATGGTTTGGATCTGGCACTTTTTGATTTGAGCCCTTTCTAATTAGCTGGAAATAACTTCAGAATATAGGAAGGATGAGAGGAATGAGGTGAAAGGAGAAAGAAAAACTGCCCTCAAAAAACTGCTTAAAAACTCAGATAACTCTTACCGGAGTTCAGCTTCTCTGTGAACATAAGGATTTCTTCTCTATATCTTCCTAAACATTAAATATTCCATCTGAAAGCAGGCAGGGGAAAGATGGATAAGAACATTTTGTGTCCAGCCATGCTCCATGGTGGGCTGCTGAGGAGATCAGGCTGCCAGGTAAAGACCACTCAGGGAGTCCTCACAGGGCAACCACCTGCAAAGCAGGATTAGGGAAAATCATCCAAAAAACCAAAGACGTTTCCTTGGAGGTCCCAATAAAGAGGGAAAGGCAAGTGATAGGAGACAGGAAGAGATTAAGGAAGAAGACAATGAGATATTTTCTTACTGCACTGGCAATGTATTTCCAATAGAATAACTCTTCTTTCCCACCTCTGGGCTGGTCCCTCCCCAGATACTTTGCTGTGCAGGAAGCCTAGTCCTAAACTGTGCCTAAATTCTTCCAGTTTAGCCTTGTTCAACCAGCAACGCTGCCTTTGGAGGGACATGAGCTCCTGAGTCTCTCCATGCTCACTCAGTGTTCCTGAACTGGCTCCTGAGCTTTTTTGTTCTTGGTTGTGTGGTTCTGTTTGGGCTTTTTGAGCGATTCGAGTTTAATTTTTAAGGAGCCAGGCGGAAAGATTTCCAGCAAATGTACTTAATGTCACTTCATTTGGCAAGCAGTGTTGACTTCCTTCCTTATCCAACTGTGCAAAATTGAAAAGACAGTTGAAAAAAAAAAGATTGATTATGGAGATTTTCACTGAACCCAGTTTTTAAATGCAAAATTCTCTGGAAAAGAGGTTTATTGCTCAGAAGCCTACTCAGAGCAAGAACCCTTTTGCATGCCACAACTGCTGGCATGTACTGCCTTTTCCTCTTTCAAAATTAATCTTACTGCATTTGTTTTCTTGGCAGAAAGATTCTCAGCACATGTATTCAAGGACCCCAGTCACCCCTTCAGAACATCAGATATAAGTAATGGATTTCTGTGACCTGAGCTGTATGTTTTATGTTGGATCCAGTCATGCCAGGCACAGGGACAAACCAAAATATAGCCCTTTGCTTAATCTTGGCATAATTTGGGAAATCAGAAATCAACCTGCAAAGCCCCAAGGATGCCCAGATGAAGCAGCTGGATGTGCCCACTTACTTTCATTATAATCTCATCTCCTGTTCCCTTTCCACACTCTGCTGCTTTCCAGATTTTTGCCCTCAAGGTACCTAATTTGCTGCTAATGTTGTTATAATTACAGCTAATTGGAAGAAGAGGAGGGGTTTTTCCACTGAAAATAATGACATCTGTAGGGAGAAGGAGAAAAAAATGAAAAAACTGAAAAAATGGATTTGTGGAGGTCTTCAGTGAAAACCAGATAGGAAAAAAAAGTCAATTAATTGACATCTTAATTTTCCTGGAAAAAATCACAGACCCTAAACATTTTTGGTATTAGCCTGTTCTCCGTGCATATGTTACCTGAGAAATTACCAGTGCTCCCAAGTAGTCGAGACAGATTTAATTAGCAGCTTTGCCATCCCCATTGGGAATGAAAATGTGATTATTGTCACGATTTTTACTAGTACAGCTTGATTTCTGCTACTGCAATGTAACAGAAAGGCCATTAGCACACCTGTGGTTTCTAACTGCAGAACCTGTCAAGTTGCCTGTTTTGTAAAGGCATTGCTTTTAAAAATCAGCTTTATCTACCTTGCACAAATGTGGCCCTGTTGGACCAGGTTTTCTGTCGTGTCCATTTGGATCTCACCAGCCCTGTGGGTTTGACAGGGCTGCAGGGCAACTCTCCAAGGCGAATTCAAAACCCTCCTGGAAATATTTCACTCTTGATGTTTCTCTTGTAAGTGAAATACTGTGTGCACTTGCATGTGTGTTACTAGAGATGTGTTACAGCATTTCCAAAATCTTTTGAAACTTCAGGAAGCTTGTGTTACACCAGCAATAGCATCTTTCCTTTCTTCAGTTTTGTTTTTTCCTACCTTGAGTGAGTTACTATCAAACAGGTTTTTGAGCCACAGACACCTGCTTAGCCATAGGTACTGCTACCTAATTGTTCCCTCTGTCATACTTACCTACTCTCCTGGGTGCCCAGGTACACCTATGAGCCCTGCTGAACGTCAACTGAGCTTTTTAGAAGTCTACAAAGGTTTTACAGGGGGTTTTAGGTCATTAGACCCTGATATTTGCTGTCTATAAACCTCAGGACTAGATGAATGTCGAGAGAAACTACCAGTGCACTCTGATGTCTCTACCCTCTTTTGCTTCTTCACTCTTACTACCCCTTGTAGTGAATTGATTACAGTCTTGTAGGGATGTGTAGAACTGGCTTTAGGGGTGTGTCTGTGAAAGCGTTACAAAACAGAGGGAAATTAATCACAAGTGAGTTGTTTTTCTCAGTCTCAAAATAATTCCTGTGGATTTACTCGTGCAGATTCATCCCCGGAGAAGGGAGCCCAGCGCTGACAGCCCGAGACCCGGAGAAGTGTAAACCAGAGGCTGCAAGCAAGTCTTGCAACTTCATTATTCTGTTTTCTTCTGGGGTTTTTTTGCCCTCAGCTCCTTATCTCTTCAGTGCATGTGATTTATGTGTGGTGAAATCCCTTCGAGGACAATAGAAAAGCAGATCATCCAGGCTGGTGATCCTCAGGATCCAGTTAAACTCTGCTGGGAAGCGTTACTGCCCTTTGTTCTGAAGATGCTGTTTGTGCTGCCTATGAGAATCTGTTAAAGAGCCTTACGAGAAAAGATGCAGCCCTTGCTGGGGATTCAGACTGTCCCATCTGTTTTGAATCCAAGAGCTTATAAACCCAATAGTGTTGTGATTTTTGTTGTTGTTCTTTGAGAATTATAGAGAGGGCTTACTTGATTCCAGGGAATGATTTGTTGGTATATCACCTCGAACTCTTTTTCATCTTTTTCTTGGTTGGTAGAAAGGAAATCTGCTTCACTGTTTGAACACATTTGGGTAACTGTAAACAGGGTACCAGTGATGCCAGGCTGAGTAAAAGGTGCCCCTTTCTGAGTCCAGGTCAGCTCTCATTTTGTTTTGGCTCTAGAATTACATGGAGAAAAGTAACCACAGGTTTTTTTCTGTGTGCACTTATTCGTATCAGAAGAATTTTGGTAGAAATATTTAATGGGTTTAATTTCTCAGTGAATATGGCTTTATATTTCCAAATGATTCTTGTAATGAGTCTGAACATCATCGTGTACCCTCTAACCCAAGAATAAAACGTGGCTTTTTAAGTGAAATTGTATTTAGATTGTTAAATTTTTTCAGAAAACTATGGTGTGTGGGTGTTCAGCAAATATTACTTCATAATCTACTTGCAAGATTGTCTCTTCCCTTCAGGCTTTTAAGAAGGCAGCTTCTGGGAGACAGGTACCTGAACCTGCTGGGACCCCACCTGAAAGAAGCATCAGACTTTTGCACCGTGAAGCCACATGAGAGTCCTGCCTGCTTTCCTGATAGCTCAGGAGTAGTTAATATCGACTGAAGTTCCCACACAAACAGCTTTTGGAGCTGTGCAGAGTCGTCAGCTACAAGATTGCCTGCCTGTCTCATTTCTGCTTTTAGAACAGGTATTGCCATCCCCTTCCGTATACAAAGGCCTGTGCATTGAAACAAGAACCTTACGGGGTTAGACATGTTCAGCATTTGATTTTGGGCTCAATGGGGAACAGTCCCTGGGAAAGGATTTTTCTGCTTTTACACTGTAGAGCGATCCTGCCGACACGGATCCAAGCAATGACATTCCTAACCCACAGTATGGACTCGGGGAGAATACAAGCAAAGCACTGAGCAGAGCAGCCTCTGGAGGGAAATTGCTTTTCCATGAACTATTGAAAATTAGGAGGTTGACTGCAACACTGGCTACAGAATAAACTCCCGGGTCTCTGTAAGAGAGAGAGGAGTTTTTATCCGTGCATGACTTTGGAGCTGGCCTGCAAACACCACAGCAGCAGATAATTTAACCAGCAAACAATGTAACTGCGCTACTCCTGATTAGTGCTTTGGCTAATAAGGGTGAGATCATGGAAAATGCTAATGAGGTGCCTTCGGAAAATCCAATTATAATGTAACCCAATTCAATGGGAGGTCTCAGCAGGTGACCAGTGCTGTGGGCAGAGCACCCCACACTCAGAGACGCCGTGAATCCCCCGAACAGACGAGCTTCTGTGTGTGCCTGGGGGGAGGCAGCAACCTCCGGGTTCATTCAGTTCCACTGTTTCCCCCAGCTAACCAGGCAGGTTTGCTCCTGCCGTTTGTGGTGCTTAACTCATCATCTGACAGCTTGTGCAAGCATTGTCTGACCCGAGCAGACGATTCAACACGGGCTATTCACAGGAAGAAAATAGTTTGTTTGCAGGGCTATCTGTTTTTTCCTCTGCTCAGTCATAGGCTTTTAATGTTTGTCAGGCTTGGGCACAGGACTAAACTTCTACTCACACAACCCCCCTCTTAGTGTGGGGTATTCCTTTTCTTTAGTATGCTGTATCTTTTAAAATGCATATAAAATGCCTGTAAATTGCTTTTCCTCTTGGTTTTCTTGGAGTGATGTATGTTTCCCAAATGCAGGTGCTGCCCCAAAGGATATGCTTTCTGCAGTGACCCAGGCAGCTTTGAGGGGGTGAGTTATTTTAGTTAAAATCAACCATCGTGTTCTTAGCAGGCCTTTTTCCTTCCCTGAGCTTTGCCAAAAATGGATATCAACACTCCCAGTTCTTCCTTAAAAGCTTGGTGTCTTTTGGGAGGTTTTGCCCCTTTTTTTTTTCGTGTGTTGATGTGACACCAACATACCCATGACTTGAAGTTTTTTGTTTTGACTGACCACTATTTTACTTCCTAGATATTTTAAGCTGTGTGCCTTGCCAAAAATTTGTTGTTTTAAAGTTGTCTCTTTCTTCTGAAGGCCTGAAGGTCTACTGATGACAGCCAAGTCAATGCTTATTCCATTCTACATTTATAGCTATTTCTTTCTACTCTTAGATAATGTGTGGCATGATGGGAAGATTTCGTTGGTGATAAGTAAGTTCCCTGTCTTTATAAATCACTAAATACCATCCCTCCTTAGTCTCAGGCTGTCATTTGTTTTAGGAAGGAAAAATTGTTACTTTGACATTGCTGAAAATTTGGGAGCTGCTTTAATGGCCTGAGAAACTCTGCGTACAAGAGGAGCTGGGTTCATGGCAATGCTGTAGGCAAAGCACGCGGGGTGCCTCAAATACTCACCTGCACTATCCTATGGTGGAAAGGCTGGAAAACACGGCAACAACATGTTTCTGGGTAATTAGGATTATGAGATTCCCAAAATGTCTGGTCTTATCCCCCTCTCTCTCCTTCTGTAGTCTAGAATGAGAAAAAGCAGGTGGTGTATGGTGATACATTTTGCTCAAGCAATCTCAGCTGCTCCAGCTCTCCCTATTCCTCCCACTCCAATGAACTGGAAATGTAATGTGATGGAAAATTCTACCTTGCCCAGAGCACCCTGTGCTGAGTTGAGAGAATATTTCTAATCAGGTTGAAGTTCTTGCTCTTTTTTAAAAAAAAAATAAAATCCTGACGTTTAAAAATCGTTTCTGTATTTTAACTTTGCTGTGAGAATGACAGAAGAATTCCCCTGATCTGTGCAGATGCAAGTTTAAAGGCCTGCAAGACACCATGGGGGTAGAAAATATTTTTTTGATTAATAAAACACTTTCCCACCAGGAACCAGGATGCTGGTTAACACTGTGTTTTCACTTACAGCAGCAACAGCCCTGCTTCCACCTGCCCTGTAAAAGGGGAACACCCAGGTGCTTCCTGTCCAAGGGCTGCTGGTGGGAGAGCAGAAGGTCCACACTGGCCTCCAAACATGCCATGGGCTGGAGGTGGTGGCAGCAGGGCTGAGGCAACGAGGGCAGGCAGGAATGTGATGGGGCACAGTGCCACGTGCAGTCTGGTGATCACTGGAGGAGGTCAGACCTTGCAGGACTGAGCCTGTGGATTGCAACTTTCTTGGTCTAATGGGAGACACCAGACCAAGGGGGGTCTGAGGCTCTTCCCATGGCCAAGGGAAAGGATTTGGAGAAGGGAAGTCTCGTGGAGTGACAGCAGGATGTTTGTAAGGCATGACCTGCTGAAGAGAGAAGTTACAGCTTTGACCAATGGTCGAGCTCCTTTGTTGCCTTTTTTTGCCATCTGGTTGGTTTCTTTCATTGGGTTATTTGCTTTAGCTGAGAGAAGAGAGGGAGATGTTTTAATTTTCTTGGAGGAAGTTTTCATTTTGTGCCTTCCTGCTTTCAGGCTTCCTGTGTCTCATCTCTTAGTTGTGTTAATCCCAAGTTAGTCCTTTTAAGGCAATGGCATTATCCTGTAGGGCTGGCGCATGCATAGCTTCTTTGGAAGGTGGTCACAAAACCAGCCATCTCTGACTAAATATAGCAGTCACTTAAAACTATTACTCAAGGTTAGGCACAAAGCACCAGCCAGATTATGTCCCTATGCTAAAAGTTAGGAAAAACTGCCCTTTTCCGAAGATTGAAATCAGAGCTGGTCTTTTTGTAATTCCTATTCTTTTCCCCTTTCTCTCCTCGGTGCCAAATTTGCAGCCTATCCTGTATAGTCATGACCCAGCATGGAATCTGTGGAAATAATGTTAGAAGAAAAAATCCTAGTTATGCCAAATGGAAGGGATTAGCAAGGATACCAGAAAAACACAGTCATCAGCACCAAAGAGTAGGATATTTCAAATGAAGTCCTTTCTGTATAAGTGACCTGTTCATACACCAAAACAGCTTTGGAGGGGCTGTGAATCACCCCTCATTTTCAGGGTTCTTGTAGGAAAGAAAAGCTGTACAGGAGAAAAGCTGATTTCTTATGAACTGGGATAACAATACTCTCTTATGCTGGCAGTAGCAAGAGAAGGATTACTTTGTTCCCTGTTAAAATTCCCCTGTGATCAAGAGTTAAGTGAGTGTGGGGATGTCAAACAGGGGACTTGGAGCCTCCAGTGATGCACTTTCTCTAGAAGGGAAGGGAACTTGCTAAAATCACGTTTGAGGCGTGAATATTGCATTAAAGTTAACTAAAAGCAGCCTCGAGTCTGGCTTAGTAACACCAGCAAAATTGGTTGTTCACAGGGATTGCTCCTAATCCTTACTAGTGATAGTTAAAATTCAAAGTGTGTGTGTGTGATGTTGTCATCTCACTGCTCATGACGCCTGAAGAGACACCTGACTTCCCTGAGGATTGAGATGTGGTGGAGTCAGAGCGCTGGGGCTGCTTTTCTACCCCTGTCTGGTAAATTAATAAGGCAGCACTTTGAAGCAGAGCTAAGAAAGAGCTGCAAAACCAGAAAACCTCCCTGCCAAATCAAACCCACTGCGTTGCAGGGTGACCTCTGAGCACCACAGTTCTGCGTTACCAGATACCTGTTGGGCAACTGAAACAAAAAAAGTCCCCAGAAGAAAAAAAAAAAAGGGCAATTAATCTGAATGTGCTGTTAATTTAATAGTATTCCCACGTGGAGTCTTAGTGCTACTATTCACAAGCTGACCATAACTTCCTGCTGTTCCACAGGTGCTTGTGACAGGCTCCACTTTCCACGCTCATTCCTTTGCAGTCCTTTACTTTGGAGTCACAGCAAACCATCTACTTGTTTGGTTGGTTGTTTTTTTTTTACTCAGATGAGGTTTGCAGAAAGTAAAATTCCTATTGGAAGAGAACTTAAAAAGGTGGTGCTGTACTGCCAGGAAACCTTTTCCAAATAATTGAGTTCTTATTAATAGAAGTTTTCACTTTGATGAATGCAAACATTCGAGCTATAGCATGTTGTGTGGCTTTCTGTATCTGAAAGCACAGATAAGAGATGTGGGAAATGCAAACAAAAAAAACCTCTGAGCAGTACCAGGAAGGGGGAAGATATTAATAGGGAAGGAATATCTCTTATGAGTGTCCTGTTTGTTCTTATTCTTTCAGCCTATTCTGCCCAAATTTGTTTAGTTTCTGTGTGTAAACATCCCTATTGTTTACGAGCAGTATTTAATTTCATTTTATTTGGATCAGCTTAATCATATGAAGACTGTAAGCCTTTCTTCATCTGGGAAGATCCAGGCACTGCACCTCGATTTATGTGTGCTGGTGGGTGTAACACTGGCTCAGTGTTTCATGGCTACCGAGCAGATGCCATTCATCTCAGTTAATTGTTCTCAAAATTATTACATTTCAGTTGCAGGCATCTAAATCTCCACTAAATTCTTCAGGCTACTTTAAACTTTGACACATTAGTCCCTGAAATTCTGCAGATATTCTGCCTCTGAAGTCCCCAAAAATCCGATGGGGCTCTGCAGAGCCCAAGCAGAGTCTGGCTTTGCTAAACTGCCCAGATTTTCCTTGCTCTATAGGAAAAACATGTGTGGAAAACTCAGGTTCTTCCAGGTGGTCTGGGGACTGTATGTGCAGGTGCTCCTGCGTGTACTTGCATATTTCTGTTATAGAAAATAAGTGTTCAGCTATGGAGGTTTGAGTGTAAGAGCTAAATATGATAAATATACATCCTCTTCCCTCTAGGAAAGAAGTCTAGCAATGTTGCTAACACTTTTAACCTGGCCACATAACATACTGTGTCCCCAGGGCAGAGCAGAGCAGTAAGAGAAAATTAAGATTTCATTTTAACCCAGAGTTCAGCCTTCACCAGGGTCTAATTTTTGAAGTCTTCCCAGGCTGACCAGCTTTGCCCGTGTTAATGGCATGCTGCACTCCGGGCTGGCAGAGCCCACTCCCTGCCACCCTGCTTTGCTTTCTCAGTGCCAGTTTTATGTTTACACGCTGCTGAGGGAGAAGTGTGTTTCCATGGGTTTTTATTTACTCTTTTATAAGAGTGCTCCGAGTTTACTAGAGGAGTTTAATTGGGCTCCAAAGTGTTCTGTCCTGCTGACAAAAGCACACTGTCATTCTGCTGCTGTTTTTCCTCTCATGGTGAGGGCCCTCCTGAGCTAAACCACTGTCTCCTCTCTGCCCACAGGATGTGGAAAGGCCCGTGGTGCACTCCATGGGCTGGAATGGCAATGGACAATGGACACCCTTCCTGTCCCCGGCCTCCTTCACCCCACAGCATGTGGTGTTTCAGCAGGAGGGAGAAGGTCAGTGCTCACAGCTGAGAGCAAGGCTGCATTTGCCCAAAATGACATGATTTTAGACCAGCATGAAAAACCATTCCTCGCAATTTAAACACATTTCCTTTGGAGCGACAAAATACAGTAAAAATACCTCACTTCTCCAAAGGCTTCCCGGGCCATTCCCTCACCTCACGGGAGCAGGTTTCTGTTGCCCAAGGCACAGGCTCTTCGTTACAGGGAGCAGGTTATTTTCCAGAGTTCCCAAACACAGGTATGACCCAGCCTTTCCCTTGCATGGAGGGGAAGGGACCCAGGCAGAAGTGGTCCATGCTTTTTGTCTGGTTTCCTATGGAGCAATGTTTATGAAGCTGTGCTGGCTGTGCCCGTGCATCTGTCTGCCAGGCCTTCCTGGTGACTGTATCATCCATGAAACGTCACATTTGCCAGCTTCAGTCAACTTGGTAGAAAGCCAGCAGGTCTCAAGGGTGGGCAGGTAGAAGGTAGGGGAACTTTTTATCTCAAGGAAATCTCAGCATGTGCTCTGGGCTTATTAGATAGCAGAGAATCCATACAGGACCTCAGCCAGGTGAGACCCATCCCTAGGAGATCCAGCTTCAGTGATCCAGGCCCACAGTGCCTGGCTACTGGCTCTGGAGGGAATGAGCATGTAAGTTGTAGAACGTTTGTAGTGCAGATCCAGGACAATTCCAAGGAAATCTGTAATGCTATCAATAAAGCAGGAGAAGGTTATGAATTAGTGTGATGGGCTGGCAGGTGATCCAGTCAATACACTGAAATGTCCTTATTGATGCCAGGCTGAAGTGCTTTGATGCTGGTCTTCCCTTGATTTGGTGACAGGATTTTTGTGGACACTGTCACCATCGTCATCGTGGTGGCTCCACAGAGAAACCACACTATCTTTTCTGGAAAAATGGGATGTATCAAGGAAGCACCTGAGGAGCTGCCTTGTCTGCATAGTGCCAGACCTTTACTGAAGCAGGATTGCCTTGCTGTGACTAAGCTGTAGCTGGTGCTAGTGCCTTCTCTCTCTCTAGTTCTCCATCATCCCATTTCTTTCTTAACAAGAGTAAAATATCATTTGAAAACAAATGTACTGCACCTTATCCTGCTTTCAAAGATTATGATGGTGATGGGGAAAATGAGTGACTTCCAAGCTGAATGTTTCCTGTTTTGCTTTTGCCTGGTTTTAAAATGCTATTTCCTTTCTCTTTCTCTTTACTAAGCCAACACTTGCAAATCCTAGAAGGGAACCTTGGCCCTTTGAATGACCTGTTCTCTCAGCAACATTGGGGATATTGGCATGTAGGGGATGTCCTTATTTTTGGGGGCTCGTCCTTGGGACAGTTGTTATCATCAGCTGTTGGTTGCACATGAAGGCATTGCATGAGTTTGCCCTCTCTGCCTGTGTTAGCTGGTCAGCACTGTGGAAACACTGTCTATATGGTGTGATGGGGCACTTCCCTCTCCCTGGGGGGTACATGTTTGCCACAGGGAACTCCCTTTCCAAGTTTGGATTCTGATTATCCCCAGAAAGATCAGCAAAAGAGGAATTAAAAGAGAAAAGCTACCCATGGAACCCAGGAGAAAGCAGATTCCTGTAAGAAACTTGGGGCTTGTGAACATTTTTGCCTGTATGTTTCTTATATTGAGTGTGTTTTTTAAGCAGTGATCCTAGTAACATTCCTCAGAGCCTTCCAGCATAGCAGGCCAGGGTGTTCACAGACAATAAATGCCAGTTCACAGACAATAAATGTGTGGAGGAGTGGGAGAAGTAACTGGGGCTGCAAAATATTTCATCAATTTGTATGAAAAACCTTAAAGCTGGTGCTCAGAAAAATAATTATCTTTAAGCAAACAGTTCCACTTGGAATAGCAATACCCAGAAGCATTTCCAGCCACTTAGTTCAGGGGTGCTCTTTCCACGGCCTCTGATTTGGTTGATTCCCTGTGTTCCTCCAGCTGTTGTTGTAAAAAGGAGAGGAAAAATTAAATAAATGTATCCGGTCAATTCCTCCTTGGCCCTCATGGCTTTGGTAGTAGCTTATCTGCACAGATTTCCTAATGTCTTGAGGCAAACTCTCCCATGGACTTCCCTGAGGACCACACACAGACATTCAGCTCTCTTCTGGCATTTCCCTGTTAATTGCCCACCTTCTAACAAGCAGTCCTTGCTCTTACCAAGAGTCCCCAGTAACTCCTTTTGAATGGCTGCAAGGGGATGGTAAATAGAAGCGTCTCTGTTGTGCCTTTTGCTCCTGACAACATGAACACTATGAAAAAACAGACAAACTAGTGGGGCTTGTTGACTGCACATGCACGTCTGAGGCTGTGTGTGAGCCATCCACATATCCATATGAATCCTGCTGCCCTGCCCAATTTGGGGAGGCTCCTACCAGCACTGAAGGCGAACAAGTTACGTGTGTTCCCACATGCTGTGCTCTTGAGTCAGAGACAAACTTCTGCTCTTAAATAAGATGTGGGTTTTTAAGCTTTGCATAATTGTGTTCTCTATCATTTCGATCTCGTGTGTGTTCAGATTCTGCTTTCCTGGCCAATGCAATTTTTTACAATTAACTTGTAATCTTCTGCTTTGGCCTTTATCATCTGTACACTTGAGACAGGAAGCAATTATAGATCTTTGAAATAGATGTCCTACTCAGGCACAGCAAAATGTCTTTCACAGGACCCCGTGTTTTATAAGAGAGGATTCAAAACTGTGATAACATCCTAGAGCGCAAACTTGGGAACTTTGCTGTTCTTGAGCTGTGCTATCTCCCATCGATGAGGCTGCGTGCAGTAGTTGGAGAAGATGCTGAGGGATCAGGGTTCCTGTCGCTGCTTTGCCATGTGACCGGACTCAGTTTGCCTTAGGTGCTTCTCTTCAGGATACTGAAGTAGCTTTCATTTTCCCTGTTTTCTCGTCAGTAAAGACCATGATACTGGTTGCACAGGGATATTGTAAGGCTTGACATTGGAAAATGCATTTAAGACTGCTGCATTGATTGTTTCCAAAGCACAGGAATTCAGAGGCTCCCGGACACAAATGTGGCGGTGACTTACCTCTGCGAGAGCTGACCAGCTGGGGAGGGAGAGCTTTTACTTTGTTGTCCTCTGAGCTCAGATCAAAGCAAGACCAGCTCTGTGGCAAAGTGCTGGTGCTGGATTGCTGATCCTGTCAGTTCTCCTTGGTGCCGTTTGTAACTCTAGCTTTGACCCTGAGGACCAAAACCAATCCCCTGAACCAAGCTGTGTCTAAAATTCTCAGGTTGGGGCACCTGTGTTTGGCTCCAGGACGACTGGAAGGATGCTTCGACGTTTTGGGAAAGCCCACCAGATGGAGCTCGTGCTTGAGGGATAAAGCTCCAGCGTGCTGCTGCAGAAGCTGGGAAAATAGGACATAGTCCTTGTTTCCATTGGATTGCTCCAGCAACAGGGTTGAATTGAGCAAGCCTGGCTTCCCAAGTGCTTGCTTGTAAGAGGAAATGTTCCATGCTAAAGATGCAGAAAAGGAAATGTATTTTTGCAGCTACAAGTGGAAGCTTTTGTTGATGTTTCCATTTTCTTGGGGCTGTCTGACTTTGCAGAACTGTTTTAGCACTCCCTCCCTCTGTTCCTTAGTATGCTTCCCATATTTAATTATAATAAATACACCCCTTACCTATTAAATCCATATAAAATCAAAGCACTGGAAAACTTGCTTAATGGTTTAGAGGAAAAAAATACACATTTGGGGAGTGAGAAGGGAAAGTGTTCGGAGTGAGAAGGGAAAGTGTTCAACCTTGAATTTAGTTACCTAAAAGACAGCTAATAAAACTTTGGAGTGTGGCAAAGAAAGCAGAATTAAGCATGTCTTAGTCTGCAAAGTTTTCTGAAAGACATAATCCATGGATTCAGAGGTGCAGCTCCATGTCATTGCCACCAGGACCATGCTAGTTTTGGTGTGCACGTCACCTCTCAGATTTGCGCTTCAAAAACCTTTAAAAACACGTTTTTAGAAACACATTTGTAATTCATGTAATCAAACTGCTGCAGTAATACATCAGAGAGCAGTGTAAACACTCTGGCTGTGAGGACATCGTGCTTATCTTCCACATGGGTGGTACGAGCACCGAGGAGATTCAGGCCCTGAGGTAGTGACAAGTCATGTTCTTCATGGAAAGCAAAGCAAATGGATATCACTAATTTCACCTCCTAATGAGACAGGAAAGTCATTACAACCCACCTGTGTTCTCTGTAACGAAGCCATCCCAGTGGCACTGGGGGCATCCTGGGTGTAACATAAAGCTGAATGTGACACACTTGCTATCAGATTTATTTCTAAGCTGCACCAACCAACCAAAAAATGTGTTCTTAGTGAACAGCCTGTGTTTTCAGCCAACATGAAGCAGGCCAACTGCCTCATACTATGGGATTTCTGACAAAAAACAGTCAGATGATCTTTTATTCTAAATCATGCAGGATGAGCTTCCCTTCAGTAATGCCTTTAGAAGAACCATTCCACAGCTCACCATCCCACTCAGTTATTGCCTGGAGCTCTCCTCCCCTGTGTCTATGTGCATGCCAGCACACAAAACATCACTGCTAATTGCCAAGTGCTGTTGGATACACTTGGGGAAGAAAAAAGGAGCATATGTGCATTAACATAGCTGGATGTATACTTTAAGTGCAGTGTGGCAGCTAGTTGCAGTTTTGCAGTAGCCAGATGTTGCACCATGCTTAATTTAATCTCTTTCTGTGTCGTTACAGCCTGTAGTGCAGACTTTGAAAATGGATAAAGTTGAAACCTGGGGCTCCACAGAAGAGACACGTTCTTTTCCTCATTGCTCCCTAACAGTAATTACAGGGAATCAAATCTTAGTGCTGCTGTATTTCAGATTCTCCCAGCAATGCTGTCACTGGTCAATGACTGACAATTTCCCTCTTGCTCTTTCTTTCTTGGTCTTTTCTGTCTATTAAGAAAATGGCATGTTCTGATTTCCAAGGAGTGCTCTGGGTGTCTGCTCATTAAATGCACTCAGTGACGTGGGTCACTGCTCATCCAGGGCTGTTCTGTCCAGAGAGGGCCCACACCTACTGCACACAGCTATGTTATGTGGCACAGACGTACAAAAATGCTCACAATTCGTGTTACACCCAGCTCGGGATCTTCTGGGAAAGCCCAAAGGGAAGAATGTTGTCATCATGGTGACTTGGGTGCTTCTGCCTAGTAGAGTTTGTAATTTTATGTTTTCTTCTTATCACTGGTTAACCAGAAGGGAAGAAGCCTCAGCCTTGGAATGAGAGCTGAGGATACCAAAGGCCGATCTTCACTGGAGGGAGGAAGGAGAAGTAGAAGAGGTTGATGCCATGGATTTTTCAGTGGCTTGGAAGGAACCAGGACTCTACAGACTCCCCTTGTCTGTCCTGTGTGAAGGTAAATCCTTCTCAATCATTTGCCAAAATAACCCCCAAATCTATTCATTAAATCCGTACTTGTTTTCTGCCTAACAGGTCCCAGCCTTTTGTGTTTCACAGGGAGGTACTTATGGACCCCTCAAATATGCCCTAATATTTGCAATTACTACTGTTGCACTGAGGGTTTATGAGGAGCAGAATGAAGCTGTACGTAGAGCTGAAGTTTAGGGCACTACAAGCAAAAGCACTACATGCAAAAAAAAAAAACCAAACCAGTTAGTGCTTAGTTTCAAGTACTATTCTTGTTGGAAGGAAAGAGTTTGTCACTCCATTGTGTGTGAGCGTGTAACAGCGTGGTTGAAAACTAGTGCCTTGAATCAACACTTTGCAGTGACGTGTCTAAAGCAATTATTCTTTGAAGACAGGAATATAACAAGAACCTGGGTCTGGGCTGTGTCTGTGGGAACACCTCGTCACATAAGAATCAAAGGGTGCATGTTCTAGATCAAAGTAGCCCATACTTCCTAATACGTCTCATTATCATACCATTCATCTTTATTAAATTCGCTTGCTTTAATTAAAGGAATGGATACTTTGCATCAGAGTTTAAGGGGTCTGTTGGGCACTTGAGATTAAATCAATGGTTTATTAACAGTTTTATCTGGAAAGTAGATTAGATTATTTAAATTATGCAAAGTAGCATCATTTTTCTTTCTCAGTAGAATAAGGTTATGATTAGGAAATAACACTTGGAGCATGAAAGCTCTGCTTGTCATTATTTTTCGCCTTCAGATCTGAGATTTTAGAGTGAAATCATTCATCTTTAATCTGGTTTTATGATATTACATCAAATTTTGCAAAATGAAACAAGTGCTGCAGTAGTGTCTAACAGCAGGTGTTTTCCAGTGGCGATGTGGGAAACGCCAGTGCTGGAAACTTGATTCAGTTGGATCATCTTTTCAATTTGTGTTGTATTTTTGTGCTGTTGGAGCAATACATCTTGTTAATCAGTTCATAAAACAGTAGGATTAAAAAGAATGCACTGGAGGTGTAAAACAGTCAACGCCAAGAGAGTTCCAAGATTAGCTTAATAAATAAAACATAATTGGATAAAATAGGCAAGTAATGAGTTGAGGGCAGCCCCAGTGTGTAATTTCTTGGGGTCAGTGGCAATGCATCAGCCTACACTGCATCTGGGTAAAGCCTAGAGGGTATATAATGGGGTGTCATGAAATTGTATGAACACTGCTCTGCTGTTGAGATGTGTTGTTTCAGCCTTCTCCCACCAGCACTTTCAAGTGATGCAGCAGCAACTGCTGCACGTGCTTTTGATTTTTCCCAGGAGAGGGTAGAGAAAATGGCTCTTATTAGAAAAAAGAAGCCATAATTGGGGCTAGCAGGGAGCCAGTGATGTGTGTAGGGTACGGTGCTCCCTCCCTGCCTGCCTGGGCTGTGCTCAGGGAAGCAGCAGCACTGGGGGAAGGTGTTCTCCCAGGGTCATGCTCTGTCCAGCCCTACAGGGCCGTCGCCTCTCACACAGGTCACTCTGCTTCAAGCAACCCAACGGGCAGAAGGAAAACCTCTTCCTCAGGTGGAACCTGTGGCTCAGCCACAGGCAAGCAAGACCCAGTGAGCAACATCAGCATTCCTGCTGGAAGCAGGAGCATCTTCTCTATGCTCACAGCGTTCGGTTTTATCGCTTACCTGTGCGCTGTCGCTGCTTGGGCTCCACCTGGGCAGTCATGTGTTGCTCCTCTGGGGGAGGCAGCAGCAGCTACCAAGCCAGATGCTTCCTAGATGCCTCCTGAGGCCCCTGCTGTCCAGCCCATTCCTCTTCTGAGACAGTGAGCACTGTGTGACGCTGCATAACTAAAACCCATCACAGCCTGGTTTATTGGGCATAATCGATTGACGAGTCTGGTTTAGCACCTCAGTTTCTGATGTTAATAAATAACAGTACCCTTCCCTAGTGATAAGTGCTAATCAATGGATTACTGATAACAGATCTTCAGATCTGAACCACAATGAGAACCATATAATTGGGCAAAAAAATTATATACACATGCAATTAAACACACATTCAAGCACACACGGTGTCATCTGTCCTCCACACCAAGTGCGCAGCAGCGCCGGGTGCTAAAATTTGCAATGAATTATTTATATGATGAATTATCCCTCTTTCCTCCCCTCCTAGAATATCCAATTGCCTGTTTCCATTTTTGTTTCGCAGAGATTTATTATTCAGGATTTGTTCACTGGATATCTTACTAAACATTTCCTGCTCTTTCTCTCCATAACACATAATAACACACATCCCGTTTCCTGGTAGCACCTATCCATCCACTCCAACGGGGTCTCCCATTGTGGTGACACTGTGAGCAGTGCCATTTTTACCCAGACAGTTTACAGTCCTCTTTGTGAACCAATTACAGATGTTCCAAATTTTGGATGTTTATTTTCTCACTGAAATCAAAACAGTTTCAGCCCCCAAGCGAACAATCCGCAGTTACAGACAGAGATTGCGACTGCGTGTGAATGAATAATTTGGTTCTCATCAGTATTTAGTGCCATGTTGCTCAGTTCCCTGGAAGCCTTTGAGAGGGTGGGAGGAGAAGATGAATGCCCAGAGAGAAGTCATTTGGAGGTTTGCTGATCTCCTGCCCCTTTGGTTCCTCGGTTTTGCCACACAGACATAAGGAACAGCACTTTACAGTCAAGGACTTCTTGCCCTGGGTGTTGCACCTCTCCATGCCTGGGACCTGTTCCTGTAAAGATTGTACAAACCTGAGTCATCTCTGGTTTCAGGGGGAGCACTTCAATGCCAATTTGCTAGGTGCTGGGATAATACCTGGGATAGCCCCCTATTTAATAGTTTAAAGGAATCACCTACACAGGAGAATTTTCTGTATTTGGGGCTTTCGTTTATTTAGTATCCATTTAACTGGCTGCCCTAGTACCTTCCAGACATACACGTAGCTTCCAGCATGTGAATCCCAAATCTGCCTCCTGTATCTGTGTTTAATGTTTTTTGTACCTTATAAATTTTTGAGAGTGGCAAATCTAGTTGTGGAGGTGTTTTTTTAATGTGCCCCTGGCTGGGAGTCGCTCCATGCTGAGCTTTAAATCACGACAGAGATTTACAGTTGCGATAGAGGTGGAGCTGCAGGCATCCAAAACGAGAGTTATCTGTGCAGTGTTCACATACCTCTGTAAATAATATCCCAGGGATGTCTTCCTGCTCCCCCTGAAATCACAAACAGTAATACCCCCTAAGAACAATAGCACTAAAGCTGTCCTCAGGTTGAAAATAATCGCTTTGCCTGTGTGTGAAGCGCAGCCCCGAGAGCTCTTTGGCTGGGTAGCAATATTTTACCTCTAATGACCTCGAACCTGAGCCAGCCATTTCTGCAGGCTCTACAAAATCCTGGTGTGCCAGGAATCAGACCCAAAGGTAGCTGCCTGCCTTCACCTGAGCACATCCCTCTCTGCTGCCTCCTGTACACTCTGAAGGCTTGGGGAAAAGCTGCTCGGAACGTACCGGGTTTTCTTTACTAATTTTGGCTTTCTTATTTAGCCAGATTCTCCCATTTTTGGATGATTGAACCCCTGTGCCTTCTGCATCAGAAAGAGGAGCCACGTGTATTTTGCTGAGATTATTTTATTGAGGTGCTGCAGTTGGAACAATCCTCTGGAAAGGGAGAAGTCGGGATGCTGTGTGCCTACACCAGGTATTTTTTGGTTCCCCTTCAACGTGCATAATTTAATTCTAAACTTGTGCCTTTCCTCCCTTCCCCAAACTCCCACCCTTGAAACCTATTTGAAAACGATAAGGATAGTAGTGAAAGATGTCAAAACAGGGACATGAAAACAGAAGGATAACTGGCTAGTGGCTCCCGGGGGGGCTCTTTTTCTTAATCCTGGGTTTCTTTTGGTGAACTTATGCTTTTGAGCAGCCCCTTGGGCAGAGTGCTCACTGCCTTGCCTGGAGCGACCCGGCTGCTCTGTGAGTTGACAGAGTGGGAGGTAAGTGGTAGTAACTAATGGCAATTAGCAGAGGTCTGGACAGCTATGTGTCCCTGAAGATATGAGCTCCTCTGGGGATTGTGCCTTCACAAAGTGAAGCTGTTTGTCACCCTGCAGAAAGTGATAATCTGCATCCCTCTGCCGAGGATATGCTGTAGGATTTGCCCAGCTGCCTTGCAAAAAAAAAAAAAAAAAAAAAAAAAGAGATTTTAATTTATTTTATTTGTGCTTCCCAAATCTGTTGAAGTAGTAAGGAAGGAATTATTACCTTCAGGGAAATCACCCATCAGCTGCTATCAGTAATAACTTGTTTAATGCTTATGTAGCACTTGACGGTTTTATGACTGATGTGCCAAAAAGGAAACAAAACCAAAGGAGTTTGTTTTTAAATGGCAAAGGATAGTTTCTGCTCCCAGGTAGTTGTAAGAAAACTGCCCCTGACTCCCCAAACCTGAAAGCTGCCTCTGACAAAAACGTAATGAGGGAGAAGGTGAGAGGTTGAATGTAGAGCTTCAAGACCCGTTTGCTAACTTGCAGGAGGGTTTAATAAATCCCATTTCTCACGCATCCCTGACGGTCTCCCCAGCCCTCTCTCCCGCCTCCATCGCTGTCGGGATGTTCCGCAGCGCTCCCGCAGCCCCGACCCCTCCAAGCATCGGTTGCGTGAAAAAGAGGAGTGGGAGAGCGCTGCGCGCCAGGCGGCCCCGCATTCCACCGTCCCGGCTTGCGGGCAGGATACAACCCTCCAAGATGGATGTTTGAGTAGCCCCCGGCGGCGCGGCACAAAGCGCTGCGCGGCTCTGCCGGGGGGCTGCGGGTCGGGCTCCCCCCGGTGCCGGGGCTGCCCCCGGGCCCGCCCCTGCGCCGAGCGGTGTCGGGGCGGGGCGGCCGCGCCCCGGGGCACCCCCTGCCCGCCCGGCCCG